CTGTTTAGAAGAATGAAACTCTGAACTTCAAAGTATCTCTGAATTTGAGATAATCATAGATTATAAGAATCTTAAATACTTTATAACTATCTATAAACTCACTGAATAACAGATGTGATGATCTGAGTTCTTAAGCTGCTTTCATTTTATAATACACTATCATTCTGATAGTCAGAACTTGATGACAAATGCTCTCTTATAACAAGAGTAAGATATACTATTCAATGTAACAGATACTCATTGAATGAACTGAGAGCACTGACTCTTGAACTCAAAGATATCAGTTAATCAAGATGAAACAGTTCATAGCACTATACATACTTCTCTGATTAGAACTATACATGCTTCTTCAGTTAGAACTGTCATTGATATCTTCACTTTCTCTACACTGAATGAACTGTGATATATAGCAGCTCAGACAGATGAACTTCTTCAGACTCTCACTGAAGCAGTATATCAAGAAGCACTCTGATTTTCTTCAGAACTATATATAAGAACTGATATCTCAGAATACTCAATCAATGATAATAACACTCTACAATTCTGTGAATAATACTGAGTCTCTCACTCTAAACTCTTACACACTCAGATAATGCAAGAGATGCATGATTCATATATAACTGATTATTCAGACTGTGAACAACTATATAGAATGATCTCTCAAGAGTTCTACTAATCTGAAATATTAAACAGTATCAGATACTTTATCTGAAACTGCAATCACTGTTCTTCTACTATCTTATGAAAGAACTGTAGAAAAGATCTATTGAAATCACTCAATGTCTCTGATAGAATCTGATAAGATATAGTAATTGACTTCACTATCAATCTATCTGAGAGTAAGAATTGTAGAAACATTCTGATCATCATGAATTAATTGAGTAAAGATGTAATATTGAAATCTTGTGATAAGATAAATACTGAATAAGTTGCTGAAGCTTTTCTACAGAGCTCATTCTATCAGATATATGAATTACTAAGATCTATAGTATCAGATCAGAGCTGTCAATTTATGAGCACTCTCTGAACAAGAATCTGTCAAGTTCTCAAGATTATATACTGTCTATTAACTGTCTATTATCTTGAGACTGATGATGTATCAGAACAGACAATTCAGATCATGAAGAATTATCTTCATAAGTTCTACAATCACTTATAAGATGATTGACATGATCTTCTTCTACATACAGAGGTTGCTATCAACAGTTGAGATGCTATTTTAACAGATATAAGTCTATTCTTCCTTATATATGAATATTATATGAAAGTGTTGAATCTTCTAGAGATCATACAGTTCACATCAGATCTCTGCAGTCTGATTCAGATTGTTGACAGTATAGTAATAAAGCTCTGAGATGTCTGTGATTGAGTAGAGATCTTCATGACAACTGTGAAACAAGATTAAGAGAATTAAATTAATGTTCACTGAGACTTCACTGAACAATATAAGATAGAAGATCTGATATGATTGAATCTTAAGAATATACAAATCATACATTCATCTCATACACTAGATTATCATCATATTAAGTATAAAGTGATAGAAGTTCTAGATAGTCATAACTACTGTCTTGACACATTATCAGAAATTCATAATGTATTTTATACAAGCTTACTCTGTTACACTGTTATTAATCTGTTCTCTTCTCAACTGACTTCTGACTGACAGTCACCAGACCTTCTAGAAGAAGATAATGAGCTTGAGTGAGAGATTGAGAATATTCTTAATAAGAGACTTCACAGCTGCAGCTGATAATATCTTATAAAATGAGTTAGCTATGATTAACTAATCTGAACTCTGAGTTTTATATTATTTAAAACAGTGACTCTTAACTAATGAGAACTGCTTCTGAAAGAAGGAAGCTAATATAATGAGCTGTGCCTGATCAATTATATAGACTATTCTGTTACACTTCATAGATTCTTCTACTTCACTTCATAGATTCTTCTATTTCACTATTAAACATATACACTCTGATTCTCAGTCATTCTCAATTGTCAATTCTTAGTTATTATGAACATATATAGATTCTTCTGCTCTGAAGCTTCACTATATATACTATTACATATATGTATAAATATTCACTCTGATTACTGATTTCTACACTTTCTCTTTCTTTTTCTTCTTTAATGTTTTTCTCTTTGTTATATAAGATCTATTAATATTATACTGATCTATTCAGCGTAGACCTCTTATAATAATGAATAAACTTATTAAATTTGTAGATACTGTGATATTTATATAATTCATGATTTTATTAGATCTTACAGGCAGAAAAGCCAGAAATGATTAATTTTACATATATATTTAATTTTAACAGACTATTTTGATGAATTGAGTGTTTTCGTATATAATTCTTATTATCTTAAGAAGAGATATTAACTATGATAACTATTGTGTATTATCTGTGATAATCTCTCTAGATTACATAACTCATCACTATATTAATACCTAGAGGCACGTGCTAAGCTGACTAATCATACCGCTCGGACGTGTATACAGAAAATTTAACCTTGCTAAGTACATCACTTAACCTTGTTATGTAAGCTGATCTTGTAAATGTGACTTATGTTACTATCTGATTTCACTTAATACATCTTTTCTTATAAGTTGAAATCACTCAATTATTTATCATCAATTCTACAATCAATTCAAAATTAATTTAAAATCAATTTAAAATTAATTTAATACTGAAATTATTCTTGAATTTAATAATAAAGTAAGTATTTATATAATTTACACTGAATTGATTATTAATTGATTTTCAATCAATTGTTAATTACTTAAATATATAGATTGAATTTATTTTTATTACTATAATTAATTAATAATTAATTCAGAATCAATTTAAAATTAATTATTAAATATTTTTATCTTAATATATTTTAAAATTCTGTAAAACATCTCTTTATATTCTATATGAATTTATCTATTCATTTAATTGATTATGAATCAGTTATACATGCTTTTTAATTGATTGATAAGCTGAATGAATGAATGAATGAGTGAATTGAAAGATTGAAAGTCAATTATCAACTGATTATTACTGTATTATGCGAGGTCAGAGTTATGATTATATAACAAGGTCAAGTTTTCTACTTTCTATCTGTTGATAAAAAGCAGAAAACTTAATCTTACTAAGTGCATTACTTGACCTTGTTACATAATTATGACTCTGACCTTATATAATACAGTAATAATCAGTTGATAATTAACTTTCAATCTTTTAATTCATTTATTCACTCAGCTTATCAATTAATTAAAAAGCATGTATAACTGATTCATAATCAATTAAATAAGTAGATAAATTCATATAGAATATAAAGAGATATTTTACAGAATTTTAAAATATATTAAGACAAAAATATTTAATAATTAATTTTAAATTGATTTTAAATTGATTTTAAATTGATTATTAATTGATTTTAAATTGATTATTAATTAATTATAGTAATAAAAATAAATTCAATCTATATATTTAAGTAATTAACAATTGATTGAAAATCAATTAATAATCAATTCAGTGTAAATTATATAAATACTTACTTTATTATTAAATTCAAGAATAATTTCAGTATTAAATTGATTTTAAATTGATTTTGAATTGATTCTGAATTAATTATTAATTAATTATAGTAATAAAATAAATTCAATCTGTATATTTAAGTAATTAACAATTGATTGAAAATCAATTAATAATCATTTCAGTGTAAATTATATAAATACTTACTTTATTATTAAATTGAAGAATAATTTCAGTATTAAATTAATTTTAAATTGATTTTGAATTGATTGTAGAATTGATGATAAATAATTAAGTGATTTCAAATTACAAGAAAAGATGTATTAAGTGAGGTCAGATAGTGACACAGGTCATATTTACAAGATCAGCTTATATAATGAGATCAAGTGATACACTTAGTAAGGTCAAGTTTTCTGTATACATACTTGACCTTGCTAAGTGTGTCACTTGACCTTGTTATGTAAGCTGATCTTGTAAATGTGGCCTGTGCCACTATCTGATCTCACTCAATACATCTTTTCTTATAATTTGAAACCACTCTTTCTTTCTTAATTATTTACCATCAATTCTATAATCAATTTAAAATCAATTTAAAATTAATTTAGTACTGAAATTATTCTTGAATTTAATAATAAAGTAAGTATTTATATAATTTACACTGAATTAATTATTAACTGATTTTCAATCAATTATTAATTACTTAAATATATAGATTGAATTTATTTTATTACTATAATTAATTAATAATTAATTCAGAATCAATTTAAAATCAATTTAAAATCAATTTAATACTGAAATTATTCTTGAATTTAATAATAATACTGAATTGATTATCAACTGATTTTTAATCAATTATTAATTACTTAAATATATAGATTAAATCTATTTTTATTACTATAATCAATTTAAAATTAATTTAAAATCAATTTAATACTGAAATTATTCTTGAATTTAATAATAATACTGAATTGATTATCAACTGATTTTCAATCAATTATTAATTACTTAAATATATAGATTAAATCTATTTTTATTACTATAATTAATTCAGAATCAATTCAGAATCAATTTAAAATCAATTTAAAATCAATTATTAAATATTTTTATCTTGATATATTTTAAAATTCTGTAAAACATCTCTTTATATTCTATATGAATTTATCTGTCTATTAAATTGATTATGAATCAGCTATACATGCTTTGATTGATTGATGAGCTGAATGAATGAGTGAATTGAAAGATTGAAAGTCAATTATCAACTGATTATTACTGTATTGTGTGAGGTCAGGGTCATGATTATGTAACGAGGTCAAGTGGCGCACTTAGCGAGGTCAAGTTTTCTGTATACACGTCTGTTGGCGGGTTGATCGGCCCTTCTAGTGATTGAGCTCTTTTGCCCCAGTAGCCTACAGCATCAGTATCAGGCGCGCGCCAAGTGTGGCAGCTAAAAATAATGAAAGACATCGGATTAAATATCTGATTGGTTCTCCATCAGGTCAACTGTAAAAAATACCTTGTAGTTTGCACAGACTATAGTAATATCCTTTGCAGTTCAGAATGTGTTCCCCTCTCCAAAATCCTCCCATCCTTCACTACAAGAATCTGATCCGCATCCATGACAGTAGATAGGCGATGCCTATAGAAGGAACTGTTAGTAAGAGACAGTGGCTTGCGGCCTGGAGAGACCTATTTACGCAATATAATAACAATCGTAGTCGGACCAGCACAGAGCTGCTTCAATCCTTGTTGCACACATACTTCGATCTCGCTGTCTAGACTGCTGGTGGCTTTGTCCAGGAGGACAATCTTCGAGTTTTTGAGAATCACTCCTGCTATCGCGACACGCTGCAGTTCGCCACCAGACAAGCTACACATAGCTGCTACAGGTGTATCGATCAATTAAGTGCTTGCCCGATATATTGATTTGCTCTGCTAATTGTATTATTAGCCGGTTACTGTCCGCATTTGATCGAGTGAAACCAGGGGCTAGATAGCCACAATGCTAACAGTTCTCAAAAGCTCTTCTTCCCATAGCTGTACCAGTTCTCAAACATCACCAAAGACAGACGAACAAGAGCAGAAACTCAATAAAAAGGTTCGCGGACGCAGAGCTAGAACAAATTGGCTCTCCATCTATTTGTATGATCTCGCGCATTGAGCAACCCCGTGGCCTTCAATTGACGAACGACCCAATTCCTCCGCACCACTCACCTACCTTCAAGATACGCAACCCCTCCCTCAACGCATGACCGAAACGACCACCCCAGACTTATAATAGCAACCACAACAATAATAATAGTAACAAACTTGAAAAGAAGAATACTCTTGACACGCTCTGTCCCTCTTTGCCCATAGCACAACACGGATCCCGCATCCGCACCTATAACCATGGCGAACCAGGCATCTACACCGGGACCCACGTCCATTCCCACATCGACAGAGACGGCAGCGGACACGATCGAGCTACTAAAGTCGCGGCTACGCAGGATTGAGTACCTGTTAACGGGCGAGGCGAGCTGGACGGGGGAACCGCCACGGCTGACAACGGCGACGGGTGTTGGCGAAGGTGAGAAGCCAGTGACGACGCGGTTGGCGAGGCTGGAGTATGAATTGAAGACGCTGGCAGATAGAGTGCCGGCTGTGAGGGATGTTTTGGGACTTTGTACGTTATTCTTTTCCTTCTTTGTTTATTCTTCCCACATTTCGTTTGTGTTTTTCTATGTCTCTTTTTTATAATAAGTTTACGGCCCTACGTGCTCTATACAACAACCCCTTTTAAAATTACACCCACGAAACTCAATCAGAAGAACTAACTAACCACCCACCCCTACCCTCACCTCAAAACCACAGACTCCCGCTTCCCAGACCTCTTCCAATCAATCCACCCCACCAACACCTCTTCCTCCTCATCCGCCGCATCGCATCCCCCAACAATCCCCACATCCCTCTCCCAACAGGCCCTAACCTCCATAATCCTCTCCTACGCCTCCGCCTTCCCCGAAACCGCCTCCCGCCTCACCTCGCTCAAAGACCTCCCCATCCCCCCCGCCTCCCTCTCCGCCTCCCTGATAGAGCTACAACCACGTCTAGACCGACTAGCGGCTGTGCAGGAGCAGCAGGCAGCTGAAATAGCGGAGCTGAGGGCGCGCAGTGCGCTAGTGGCGAAGCGGTGGGTGGAGGTTGGGGTTTTGGGGGGGAGCGAGGTTTGGGCGGAGTGGGAGGGGAGGATTGAGAGAGTGGAGAGGGGGGTTAGGAGATTGGAGAGGAGGAGGGAGGTGTAGGAGATATGCGTTAGATTGTAGGGGCGTGGAATTTTATTTTTATTTTTTATTTTTATTTTTTGGCTTCTTTTCCTTTCTGGCTTGGCGACGGGAGTGTGAGCAGGTGGAAGATATCTATGCGGCATTTGTATATTTTATCATGATGTTATTATTATTATTCTGCGGGACCTATGCTCCGCCTATGCATCGATATATCTACTGCGTAGGGCGTTTTCCTTCTGCGCAAACCAATAGTTATACTTTTCTCCCTTTTCACCTTGCTAGAGTTTTTCTTGTCCTCCTTTTTTACCCTATTTTTTATTTTTGGTTGCGGCATTTTTCTACCCTGTTTCCCTGTTTCCCTGTTTCCGACCTACCTCTCCTCCTTGCCCTTCTCTTCCTAGCTAGCAGCAGGCCCGTGGGACAGAGCGAGCGGGATTGACATGCATGACCAGGAAACCTGGGAGAATTCAAGAAAAATATATTCAGCTGGACTATTTTATTTCAAAGGGTACGTAAGGTTTCTAGCAAAGCCAGAGTGTGGCAATAGTCATTCATCTCATATCACTTTTCTCGCGGTAGATACAGAAGCCGGTAGGATCTCTTGTGCCCATTTATGTGTATATGTTGTATGTGCAGGTGTGTAGCTATGACCAACTCAATATGCCTACATATAACTATAGCAGTAGTACGCAGTAAGGTACGTTGAATAGGGCTGTCCTAGGGTGGGTGGTGAATAAAACAAAAACAGGGCTGGTGGAGATGAGATGGAGATTTATATATATGTTTGAGTAGTTACCAAGGTACACTTGGTAAGAACTTTATAGCAATGACTAACGCTTTAATTTTTCTCTTTTTATTGGTTTAAAAAGATACACATAGTGTAACCTGGAATTCTTAAGGTACCTAACTAGATGCAAACGTGCATAGACAGAGATTAATAAATTGAATTGAATTGCATTGCATTGCATTGAAGCTGTTAACGCTCTTGTCTATTCTTTCTTTCTTGGAGCGGAAGGTTATTATTATTATAACTACCCTATTTTTTCATACTGAGATGGCGTTAATACTCTGGCTGTCTCATCGCTCAGTTACGAAGAAGATATTACGTATACAGCGTACTCCGTATTTTGCTTTAACGAGGATCTAGTCTGGTCTGGTCTAGTCTGGTCTAGGGCTAATTTTAGAGAGGGAAGTGGAGGGGAGGAGAGCGCATGTACCGGTACATCAAGATTATTATTCTTCTTGAGAGAGAGTTGCCGCGCGCAAAAGATGCTAGAGCTAGTTGGTTCCATGTCACACCCGAGAGAGATCTGTCATATTTTGGAAAATTAGATCAGAAAATGAAGAGGAGGGAGAGAGGATTCTTCTTGAAGAAATCAGGGTAAGAAAAGGAAGTATTTCATTCCTTACAGAACTAACTACTCTACTCCATAAGGCAGAGAGAATAAACTGTGTCAAGGTTATACATACTTCTCTCTCTGTGTTTAGTATTGATGTTGTTGGGCATCTGTACTGTACAATCGAAGTCTAAAACAAGGGACCCTCTTTTTTCTTTTTTTTTTTTCTTCTGTTGGGTGCATCAGAGGATTCTCTCACAAACTAAATGAGGACTGGATGTCTGTCTGAGCTGGGTAATTGTTGGTTGGATTGGTTGGCTGTCGGCGAGCGTTCGCTGTTCAGTGGACATACAGATGTTTTGAATATATGCAATGGAGCTAATGAAGGCGAAATGGTTGACCCCAGATAGATATATTTCATTTTCCTTCAACATTCCAGTGACCACTCGTTCTCTTTTGTATCAAGTATTCTAGCCTAGCCCAGCTTTTCGCCGTTTGGTGCCCGTTAAGCGGAACCTAGGCACTGGGCCAGACTGGGTGCAAATAAGGCCGGCGACATTTGAAACAAGCCGAGAGAGGTCTGGTTGAAACTCTTTGAGACTCTTGTCATTGTCCCCAGCAGAGTAGATGACTGGAATGCCCTGGACCTGGATTGGCTGCTTGGTTATTTTGTTCAGCCCTAGAGAATAGTTAAAAGATTGACCGAACCCTTCCCTTGACGCCGGCCCAGCCCAGACCCGCAGCCAGGCGCAGGTACCGGTACATATACAGGTACATACATACATACATACATACAGTTCTGGCAGCAACTGGGGCCCGTCGTCTCAGCCTCTTCAAGAGCCCAAGTCCGTCTAAAATCCAATCCAGAATCCAGCCGCTGATTCCCGGTCCACAGAAAAATCACGACAACTCCTTCTTTTCTCCAACTCCAACTAACCTCCCTAACACTACGGAGTACACTACACTAAACTACACTACACACTACGCAGTACACTACACTTAGTACTGCACTGCACTGCACTACGACTACACCACTGCACTAACACTACACTACGCTGCGTACGCAACGGAGTACACTACCTACACCACTACAGCCACTGCAACCGCTGCAACCTGCAACCTGCAACCTGCAACCTGCAACCACTAAACCAACTCCAACTCCACCGCTGCCTCTCTACATCTTCTTCCTTCATTCCTTTGCTTCTGTTGTTATTCTTCTTCGTCTTCTTCATCGCATCCATCGCGCTGCAACTCTACCAGCGCCCATTCACTCTTTTGTAGCCCCCTTCTCTTCTTCTTGTTTCTTCTTCTTCTTGTTCTCTCTTCTTCTCCCACGAGCCTGGTGCTCGACCCTTCTTGTCACCCCACCCACCCACCCCTTGGCCCTCCCTCGTCTCTTCCCGCGACACCCTATCCCGTCCACGGAATATCCAAACGGCCAAAAGTATACGTTAATCGTCAATCGTCATTTATTGTCATTTATTGTCGTCTTTGTCCCCCTCCAACTCACCCTCCTCCCCTCCCTACGAACAAACTCCATCGCGATCGCTTCTTCTCGAGACGCCCTGTTTTCGCTCCGTGAATTTGAACTAGTACCCGTTTCGTGGCTGTCATTCCTCTGGGATTCCTCCCATCAATCAAACCTTGGAACCAACCCATCCATCTCTATCTATTCATCACCTCACAAAAGAAAAAACTCTGCTTCATCGTACCGTTTGTTTTAATACTACCTACCTATCGCACAACCTCGTGCCGACAGACACATCGCTGGGGAAAAAGAGTGAAAGGAGAGAGAGCAAGGAATACAACTACAATCACGGCCAATTAGTTCCACCTCAATAACGCATCACGTCGTCCCTCGTCCTCGTGTGCATTCCCGCTCCCCTCGATCGATACCCTGCCTCCCGGTTATCTATATCCTGCTTGTCACCCATAATCCTCCTGGTCAATCGAATAAATATCCTTGTGTTGTGTGGAAGTCATCAACGCGCTCACCTCCGTTCAACCAACACCCCCTCTCCCTCCCCATCGTTCTCGGTCAGCGCAAAAAATATAAATCCTTGAATTCTTTGTGATTGAACTTTTCACCATACCACAAAAAGCGTTTCCCGCGCTTGAATGGTGACCTATTCCGCGAACTACTCCCCTTCCTTTCAGAGAAGGTCTCCTGTTGCTGTCCACAATCGGCGATCCAACATGGCTCGCATGGATCTTAATAACATTGTTGGCGATCCATTCGCCCTGATAACTATTTCCACGTCTATGGTATTTCTGTCCCTTTTTTTTTCCCTTCCTTTCTTCCTTCTACTCTTGCTTATTCCAACACGGGTAAATGCCGCCACTTGGCTTTTACGGGGGAAATAGGCTACTGCCCTTTTTAAACTAGATTTGAAATTCTAACAAAATCCCTCGTCTTCGAAACTTTTAGATTGCATGGCTATTATCTTTCGTGACGTGTGTCATTTCAGATATCCAAGGTCTGTTCCCTAACTTCGCATGGTGGGCTGTTGGCTATATGCTATGTGCAATCATCGGTATTTCCATAGTTCTGGGGTCGCAAACAAGCCATGTATATGGTGTCGCGGTACGCTCACCCTCTCTTCCCTCAATCCGCCATGTCAACATCCCGTCTCTGTCATAAACCAAAACCCAAGTAGACTAATATATTGTTGATACTGCTAGATCGTCGGTTATCTCGCTGCCGGCCTGGCTTTTACATCGCTTGCCGTCAATTCGTTGATCTATGATGACGAGGCCTCGAAACAGGCTGCTGCCGCAGGCTTCATTCTCCAATCTATGGTTATCGTATGTATATGTCCTTTATTTTTATTTTATTTTTATCTACCTGCCACCAAAACTGCCACCAAAACCCCCGAAGTAGGCTGTTCAAACCGAACGAAAAAGCCAAAAATATGCTAACACACGCGACTAATTTATACAGATCGTTTGGATATTCTACTTCGGATCCTCACGCCACTCCTCGTCCCGCGGCTACCACGACTCAATGGGTGCTGGCAAGGAACAACACCACTCGTACCGCAATAGCAAACCTATATCCAATAACTACGGCGCCCGACCAGAGACAACCGTCTCTGCCAACCAACCTCCCCAGATGTATACCTCCGCCCAACTAAACGGCTTCGAAACTTCCTCCCCCGTCTCCGGTTTCCCACCAACCGCCACCAACGGCGCAGACATCCAAAACCGCTTCGGAACCACCTTGGGCTCACAGACGAATCTTGGCGGTGGAAGCACTATCGGTCAAGACCACCAATCGACAAACGAAGTCAGCCAGCCAACTGAGTACCCGTACCGGGCAAAGGCAATCTACTCCTACGAAGCGAACCCAGATGACGCGAATGAGATTAGTTTTGCCAAGCATGAGATCCTTGATGTATCAGATGTGAGCGGGCGGTGGTGGCAGGCGAAGAAAGCGAGTGGGGAGACGGGGATTGCGCCGTCGAATTATCTTATTCTGATATAGGTTCTTTTTTTCTCTCTCCTTTTTGTCACTTTTCGATTTTTTCTACTTGTTCAATTTGATTTTATTTGATGCCTTTTTATTTTCTTTTTTTCGTCGCTCTGTGTTTATGGAAAGGGTGGCGGGGGGAATATATCATTTTCATCATTTTCCGTTTTCTTCTTCTTCTCTTTACTTCTTTTCTATTTTCCTTGCCCTTGCCATTTTATACATCTTTCTTCCGCCTCTCCCCTGTAGAGCTGTCTTGATATGTTATATGTGTATGCAGTATGTGTCTGTGTATCTCCCATCTTCTTCATATCCACACCAGCAAGCTACTGTATCCTCACACAAGACCCCCATTTATTCACCTTATTTACCTGTGGTCTACCCTTGTCTCTCTTTTTACAAAGACCGTCTTTCTACTCGTCGAAGCTGAAGGAGGCGCGAGAGAGAGAGAAAAGAAAGGGAACGTTTTTTAATGTCACTTTATTGATTGTTCTGTCCATTATCGTTTCTCCCTTCCCCAAATTCACTATGAAAACAAAAAAGGAATTACCCGCAACCCTCCCCCTTCCATTTCTATTTTCTTGTTTTACTTATTATTGATTTTGATACTCTCATTTCTCTTCTCTTCTCTTCCTCTTTTTCTTTCTTGTTTTCTCAAATCCTATCAACAAACAACAAAACGAAAGAAAAGAAAAAAAAAAGAAAAGAAAAAAGAAGAACCAAATCATGTCTCATATTTTCCTGACTGATGAATATATTTACTATTATCATTATTATGAATGACCTATCATTTTGCGTAAAAGGTGAAAAGATCAAGAGATCTAGAGAATACAGATACTATTTTATATATATATATATTCATTATTGTTTAGTTATTTATCTGCGAGTATGAGAATGTGTATGAGAGTGTGTATGAGAGATGGAGAAATGACAGTTACATCAAGCAGAGACAAGAGAAAGTCAGCTAGCTGATTTATTGACCCAGCGATGGAATATATCTCTACCAGGCATGATTGTTATTGCTGTGATTATGCAACATGCAAGAGGAGAAGATCCTGTTGATGATTTATATAAAGTATTCCTGAGGGTTCTGTGTCCATCCAGAATGTATATAGGAAGGATGTAGGAGATAGTTTTCTACAGATTCATATCCCCCCTCCCCTCCCCTTACACGTATGTATGTACTGTATATGTACATGTACATGGAAAAATATAATCCGCCTCCATTCTCACGGCTCTTCTCTTGCACCCAATCATCATCATCACCAACATCACTCGCTGGTTTCCTCTCCCTACCGCTAACCTCCTACAATGGCTCGGCATGTGTATAGATAGAAGTAGCTATAAATTTTCACCCGTTTGCTACTTTTTCCCGCTGTTGCTTTTCCCTTCTCTCCCCTCTCCCTTTAGCGATGGCACGATAGCATGTGCGCCAGGTAAGGGGCACAGTTATATATATTCCATCGGAGATTGTGTTTCATTCGTTTGTTTGGGTGCTGGCTGGCTGGCGATTTTGTCGCTGAGTGCATTCCCCTCCCCTGCGCTTTCATTTTCGCTCGAGGATCGGATCCTGCGGTTGTTATGTCGGTTTTACTAGTTAAAGGGAAAAAAAAGTGGAAAAAAAAGTGGCGCTGAGGAAAATGAATAGATGAATAGTAGAGAATCCCAGATAGAGTACAGTAGCTGGGAGAGAGACACTAGCCCAATCTCTGTCTGGGGATGATGGGGATCGAAAATATACCGACCAAAAGAGCTTGGGATGCGAAGAAAGAAAGATCTCAGTTGGACACCAGGGTTTTTTCTTTTTTTTTTCTTTTTTTTTTTTTTCCCTCGACGACGGCAACGGCTAAATATCAAATCAAACGTAGGCCGGCCACCTGTTTCTGTTCTCGAAATAGGGGTGGGAGAATTTATGCAAGATTGGTCTTTAAGATCCGTTATCTTCGACGGCAAAAAAAGAGGGAGAAAGAAGGGAAGAAAGAAAGAAATTAGTCGCAGAGAGCGTAATATCGCCCGTTCGAGCCGCTGAGCCTATGAAATCGGTTTTGGATGGCGGTCCACCAACCGTGTAAGGATTGTAGCTGATATTGTTCCTCCGTATCTATATGAGATCGTGAGGGTGAGAGCGAGGGGGGACTAATAGGAGGAGATGTCCATCGACGCAGGCTCTGTTTCTGCATATGTCGGTTTCGTTTAGTTGACCTTGTTGTTGTTGTTGCTGTGAGCTGTTGCTGCTGTCTATCCAGGCCGAGGAGGAGAAGGGCATCGTTATCTGCTTGTGCTCGATTTGCTGCTGCCTTCTCGGCGATCGATCTGTTCACGGCCATGATGTCGAAGGCGTTGAAGGCGATGAACATGGTTATGGTGGGTTTATATATGTATATATTTATATATGAGGGAAGCCGCTCTGAGGGGATATATTTTTGTATGTTCCTGTTGCAGCTTTTTATTTTTTTCGCAACGACCTTGGGAATCTCCCGCCATTTAAACCCACAGAGACGAACCAGCAAACCTGTGTGCAGCTCCCGTCATTCACCAGTTCCACCACCACTGATCGACTGTCTTCTGGTGAGGAGAACCTCCGGCGCCGGACAATATGATCCGCTCCTATCGCAGTGGCTTGCATTGGCAGCATCTGTGACACCCCCAAACCTCTTGTCGAGAACCACTTCTCAAAGTGGCCTCGCCCATCATCCGGTAGATCTAGTGGAGTTCCTTTGCTGGGTCGGAAGCAGATGACTGGATAACTGGTCAAGCCCTCTCAATGATTTGCTCTCCTCCATCCATCCCACGGTAGAGCGGAATAATGGTACATACGCTATAACATACACGTCTGCTTTGATGCAGACTCCATCCCTGATCGGAAGATCAACACCACTAGTTACCATGACGATCATGGCGTTCAAGCAAAGCCACAGTTGAGAAGCCTTCTTCTTGCAACTTAAAAGTTAAGGCCAAGGAAAAAGCCCCCCAGACTGGTTGGCATCGAAACGATAATGCGGGCCATATAAAAACGTTAAGACACCACTCTGATGAGCTTTTGATCAGCGCTAGCAAAGCTTATGCATTTTACATGTAACCATCACAAGCACATGCTTTGATTCGCTGGTAAATATCAGAACATGTCCTAAAATTGGAATGAAATTGGAATGAAATTGAGAACTTTTTTAACAGGTAACTTAGCGCTCAGCCAGTTCAAAAGAAAAAGCACATATATGAGCAGTGCGAGAGGGAACACTTCAACCACCATGCTCAAATTGACTTTCCACAGCTTTGAGATTGAGATTATGGAAAGATGAGTGTTTTAGCTTCTCAAACGGCTCCTAAATAAGACTTCTTCGACCGCCATTTCAACAAGAGGCTAAGCCTTCTCGTATGAAGCTATACTTTCATATAGGATAAAGAATTCCGTCCGCGGGTTTCTGGCCAAGCGGATGGACATGGTCACTCACTATTGGATCCAGTCATGGTTGCGGAGTCTTATAACATAAAAAAAAATAAGTCGGTGAGGCTTTGACAGAAGTTCATCATCATTTTGAAATCGCAAGTATAAGTTTGTTAGTTAACATACTTCGGCTAAGGCATTGTTATTTGCCAAGCCCAAGCTGTTGACCAATTTCCTTCCAACATCTTGCCCTTCCTTCATATTGGGCACACATCGACAGCCGAGTACAAACTGCTTCCGTGCAATACTCCGCTCATTATCTGCTTTCGACTCATCAGCTTCGGTTCATTCCCTTTCGGTGTCTGTTTCAAGAGAAGCCCGTTCGCCTGCCATCCCTCCTCTTGCCCCTACACCATTCTGGGTGCCATTGGCAGGAGAAGGAGAGCCTCTGAAAACATCAAATAGCCATTCCATACATATGGAGAGCTTGTTGGGGCGGAGACAGACAGACACACATATCTATCTATCTACCCATACCACAAGTTGCATTTAGTACTCGAAGTCCATGCGAAAATAGAAATCGCTTGTGATTTCTGTTGTCATCGACTCCCGCTAATCTATGGCATCTGACATCTAGCTTGGATGGAAAAATGCTTGCGATGGAAATTCCCAATGATTGAAACAAGCGCTTTATATCTAGTTTGCGGACTCCGCCACTATTGCAGTCGTCTTAATCCTATCTAGCCGATTGTTTGGTCGGCTCCGCTCATAAGTTGCGGCAGAGGGGTGGTGTTTGGAAAGCATTCCTTTTTTTTTTTTTTTTGGGGGGGGGGAAATATCTGCAGACCTCTATCGCGGATGATGCTTGCACAAAATGACACAGATAGTGTAACTAAGCTAGAAGAGATAATGTACTGTAGGGTAGGGTATTCCTAGCGTGACTTGCTCTTTGTTTGTCTTTTGATATAGCAAGCATTTGAGAGCAGAAGCAACTTGAGAAAGGTGTGTACACACACAAACACTACACACACCCCGATGGGTGGTGTCATTCTAGGGGGAAAGAAAAAGATTCCTGCTCTGGGTCAGAGACCACCACATGCTGCTGACTGACTTCTACACATATTTTCTTCAAATCTCACTGCTGTTTGACCTCCCACCAAGTACCAAGTAACTAACTAGACAAGGAGAGCAACTCCGCCTGAGAGTCAGTCAGGCATATACCATTACTGTAACTACTGTACTTACACTTACTGGAACGATTACGTAGGAGGAGCCTGTCAGACATCTGTATATTCGAGCAAATAAATAATAAATCTCTGTCATAATTTTTATGTTGATGCAAAGCTCAGTCCTCGTGTTTTTTGAATGCGATTATTATTGTATGTAACATACGCAGTAGTAAGAAAGAAGCCTTTGTAACTATAGTTAATCATTTAAACTCCGTCCGGCATTGTTCTTCCGGCGCCTGTACGGAGTAGTTAACCAACCCAACCAACCCTCACCCTCACACTGAGAAAAAGAAACGAAAATGGAAAATCGGAAGAAATCTAGAGAAATCATTGCATGTTTTTTTTTTCTTCTATTTTTTCTTTTCATTTTTTTTTTTTTTTTTTTCTTTCATAGTCGACATTTCTGATGCCCTGTTGACAAAAGGATAAGGATACAACTGCATGAAATTGCAATATTTTATTCAAATGAAATCTCCGGTAGAACTACCGAACGTTAGCTCTTTATTGGTCAGTTGTTGGAATATAAAGCCACAAGAGATAGAGAGGGGAGAGAGGGGCATTCATTGGCACGCAGCTTGGTAAATAGTTAACTACTCCTCGACTTGGGTTGGAAATTCGACTGTCGAAGGTAGAGTATTTAGGGCGTAGCGTTTAATGCACAAATATCAATCAATATCATTCTCCCTCCAATGGAATAGATATACATACATATGTATATACTGTACACGGACGGAAGTTGTAGGAAGCAGATATTCAACTTCGGCTCAAAGAAGAGCAGTGTAGCAGTGAGCAGTGCATGATAAAAGTGCTTGGGCAGCGGAAGTTTGTTCTGATTTTGATGTCTGTTGGTATATCTCTATCTAATGTATATAACAGGAATAAATATTGCAGGGCCCAGCCAAACGGTTGTTGGTTGCTGTTGAGCCGTTTTTTGAGCCGGGACAACATCTCCCATCTCACATCTCACATATCAACAACCATCTCATCATATTAACTACCATATCATCCCCATCCTCTTCCTCTTCCTCCAGCAGAACAACAGTAACACATTCACTCTCTCCTTGTGCCCTCTGTTATGGCTGACTGACTGACTGACTGACTGACTGACTGACTGTATTATTGTCACTGTATTCTATTGCCGGAGAGGGGCCACGCGACTTGCTGCTGCTTACTACCCGTGACAGTTGCTCTCTCTGGCTGTTGAATATTCGCGGTGCCTGACCATCCTTTTATCTATATTCTTTATATTCTTTATTCATTCTTTATTATTTATTCTTCACTCCATCCAGTCAGTGCGCCCATCCCATCCCATCCCATCCCCGAGTCAGACAGCTCAGCTCCCTGTTAGCGATAGTTTTTAGCTCTCGAGCTATCTTAGCTTAAATACCCACCGGGAAATCTCCTCATCCCGCCCGCCCTTTATTAACTATTCCTTGTAAACTGTTGACGGGACGAAATCCCGCGATTCTCACAAACCTATTCTCTCCCATCCCCCCACACTTGCTCCTCTTGCCTTCTAGAGATATATGCATGCATATATGTTACATCATTCATAGAAAAGACGGCCATACGATGCGGTAGAGGCTCTACCCAGCGAGCTCTCCAGCTGCCAGCCGCGGGTAGCTGTTTGCCCCCAGCCGCCAGCCCATGGATCGAGAGCGTCGACTGTCGCGGTTGACGGCCAAACTGCTGCGTCGGTCTTCCTGGTCTTCCGCAAACTTTGTCGTGCCCAACTCTCCCAGCCCTAGCACCACCACCAGCACAACCTCCACAACCTCCACCAGCACCGCCAGCACCGCCAGCACAACCACCCCAACGGCCACCAGCAATCTCGTCAATCCCAATCCCAATCCCAATCCCAATGCCCATCCTGCTGCCGGTGCTTCGCCTGCCTCTGTACCTGCCGAGCACGACCACCACTACCAAGTCCACCACCCTGACCAAGACGGCGACCACCACCACCACCGCCGCCAACCCCAGCTCCACCTCCACCCCCTCCCTCATCCTCGCTCCGCCGTAAATTCCCGCTTCTCCGCCTCCTCGTCGCCCATCAGCCCAACAGATGACAGCTCCGACCTGCTCTCCCCGTTAGCGGCGAGGAGACTGCAGCCTGGGGATCAAGCAGCCCCAACCAATTCAACCCAACCAGATCAGCAGCAGCAGCAGCAGCAGCAGCACCCGTTACCCACGGAGCCTAGAGACAACGATGAGGAGATAGCTGAGCACGTCGACCAATTCCCGGCTGTCAGTTTCCAATCTTCCACTGCCGCAGAAGGAGGCTTCGACGCAGAATCCTCTGCCCGCTCCTCCTCAAGCAGCTCGCGTGCTCTGGACCCAAAAGAAGACCGCTTACTACATCGTCCTTTGGAAGCATATTCCCTCTCCAGAGCCTTCTCAAAGGACAAGGGCTCCTCCCCCTTCCGCTCTTCTCGTCAGGCCCACCCTCGCTCCTCCGTAACATCCGCCTCATCTCTGAACTTTGTTGATGAGTCTCGCCGTTCCAATACCCCGTTATCCACTGCAGGTACATCTATCAAACTCACCCCTACTTCCGTCAAACCGGTTGCCCGGCCAAGCATTGCCGTCCGCCGTCAATCCCTGGTCCCCTCGTCCCAGCAGCGACTAATAAACACCCTCCTCGAACCGTCTCCATCGGCCGGTGGGGATTATTTCTCCAGCGGCCTCCCTTCCATTCACCGAGACATGATCAATCGGAAGATATGGGTTAAGCGGCCCAATTCCTCCCCGACATTGGTAGCGGTCACAGAGGAGGATCTGGTCGATGACCTGCGTGATGTCATCTTGAAGAAATACAGCAATTCCCTTGGCCGCACCTTCGACTCTCCGGATATCATTATCAAACTGCTTCCGCGGGAACCTTCGAGTAGACAGAGCTCCCATGAACGAGTCCTTGGCCCGGAGGAACCCGTGGGCCGCACATTGGATACTTTTTACCCAGGTGGACAAACTGTGGACGAAGCACTGATCATTGAAATTCCTCAACGACGCACTCCAAAACCTTCACCCCGACAACATAACCTTGGCTACTGCCACTCAGATGATCTGCATCCAGGAGAATCGGGAGAGTATTTCCCTCCAATGGCAATGATTCCTCCATCCAATGTTTCTGGATCCGCTTCCAATGCCAGCGCAGCTAGCTCCCATCACGCCCCCCCCGTGCATTCCATGTCTGTAATTACAACCGGACAACTCCCTCCAGTTCCTTCACCAGGGAGTCGTGGCTCCTGGCACCAGCATCAACTTCAATCTCGCCCCAAGTACGGCCGCCAACCTACTGCTTCGCCTACCGTCGTGTCTACGTCCCCGAATCAAAACTTGGCCGGTACGTCTACGACTTCTCCGTATCGTCTAGAGTTCGTCAGGGTCGTCGACTAGTCTATTTCTTTTAAGCTATTTTTTTTATTTTTATTTTTATTTTTTTTTATTTTTACTTTTTATTTTCTACCTTCCTCCTCGTTCTTCTTCTTTATCAGTATGACGTCTGCTAACTTTCACTTTTCTGCGTGTTTTTGTCTTGTCTCTGATTTTGTAGATACTACCACTGCGCCAATAAATGCAATGTCCCCTATTCCTCCACCTCCATCCACGTCAACCCCTCCCGCTCCCTCACCCGAACAACCACAGAAAGATGCTACATCTCCACCAGCTCGCACGTCTTCCCCTCGCCCAGCCCCAAAATTACGGAAGGTCAAAAACCGCGGCACCAATGGCTCCCTTCCCACGAGCCTGCTAGACGGAACCGTGCCTCCTATCAATGTCTTAATCGTGGAGGATAACATTATCAACCTCAGGCTTCTCGAAGCATTCATGAAACGCCTCAAAGTGCGGTGGTCTACCGCAATGAATGGTCGGGAAGCTGTCAACAAATGGCGAGCCGGCGGGTTCCATCTAGTCCTAATGGATATTCAGCTCCCAGTCCTAAGCGGCCTTGAAGCTACCAAGGAAATCCGACGATATGAACGACTCAATAACATCGGAGTTTTCTCGAGGACTGTTTCGGGCCCGGCAGTAAAGGGCTCATCGTCTTCCTCGTCACCGAGCTCACCGGTTGAGGGTAGACATAGCCGATGCCCGGAAACCCTCAGGCCCGAGGATAAGCTGGAGAACCCAGAAGCGTTTAACAGTCCTGTTATCATCGTTGCGTTGACGGCTAGCAGTTTGCAGAGTGATCGAAATGAGGCTCTAGCTGCGGGATGCAATGATTTCTTGACCAAGGTGGGGGGTGTTTCTCCTTTCCCTTATTACGTCTACCACTACTCTTGGAAATTTCCTCTTTCCCACTTTCCTTATTTATCAACTGCGAAATACCCTATGCTGACATTAAGGAAAACTGCACCGTAGCCCGTGAATATGGTGTGGCTAGAACAAAAAGTAACCGAGTGGGGATGCATGCAAGCCCTAATTGATTTCGAGGGATGGAGAAAATGGAGAAAATTCGACGAGCAGCAAAACCCAGAAGTTCTAGTGTCTACTACTACGACGACAACAACTACAACAACGATCCCTGAACCCACCGGTGAATCCGCTCCTCTCCAACACAAGAAGTCCCACCAGAATATCCATGTAAGCTCCAACGGCGGGAACGGCGGGAGTGTAAAGACCGTGAGCAGCAGCCTTCACAACAACCATACTACCATCGACGATCATAATGCTCATAAAACCACCAACGAAGCCTCAACTAGCCAAGACAGCAGCACCCCGGTAATCTCTGCCAATCCCATCAAACAAGTACCAGCATCTACTCCTGCGAAAGAGCCTAGCTCCAATGCCTCCTCATCAGCAGCAGCAGCAGCGATAACTGGCGTCGCAAATGGTTCTTCAAAGCTGGACGCGACGAGTCCTGGTGCAAGAAGTAGCACAAGCACGCATTCCTCAGGTACCAAGCGGACGAATCGGAATAGTGGCGGTGGTGTGTCGCCCAGGATACCGAAAGTATAACGAATATGGAAATTTTTATATACGATATGATTTGGCGTGTTTTGTTTTTGCAACAGAGAGAGGATATGGGGGGAAGGGGATAGAAGAGAGATTTTAATTCAGTTTCCCGTCTTGCTTTTGTTCACTTAGTGTGTTTTAATTTCCTGATTTCCCTTTTTTCTCTTGTCTCGTTTCCTTTTCTTTCTTCTTTATTGTGTTTTCTTCAGGAGAGACTCTGACTTCCCCAGTCCCTTTTCTCAAAATCATGTTTTCTTTTCTCCTTCCCCTTTCCTTTCCCCGTCTCTCATTTTGATTAATTTAAGGTGCCATGCTTTGGTGTTGGGAGCGTCCTCCTTTTTTCTTTTTCTCTTGTTGTTTTCTTTAAGGAAAAGAAAAATGACCGTGGAAACTTTTTTGTTTCCCCCCTAGATGCTTTGCTTTCTATTCGTTTCGTTCTATCTACCTACTTACATATTTATCTACCTATCTTGTGGGAAATTCCTTTTCTCGTTTTTTTCTTTTTCAACTTCTTTCCCACCCCATCCTATTCCAGCGGGACTACCTTGTTTGTTTTGATTTTCATTCCGAGCAAAAGAAAGCGGTTTAAGAGAATGATTTTGAATGGTTTGTGTAGTAAATGTTGGCATGATTCTGTTTTCTTTTTCTTTTCTTTTTCTTTTATATACATATGGCTTGGGAATATTTGATCGTTATATATTACTATTGTTGGTAGGAGTTTCTTATTGTTAGTTGTTTATATTCTCTTTTCTCTTTCTCTTTCTTTTTTCTATTGTTCTGCTTTGCGTTTGCCTAAAAGAACTATATACAACAACTCTTTCAAGTTTCTCTTGCTCTCTCTTTTCTTCTTCTCTCTTTTCTTTCCGATTCCTTCTCTGGCAATCACTCAAACAATAAGAAGTGTAGATAGATTTGCTGCGCACTTTTTTTTCCCCTTTCCATTTAGTTCCTGATTATTCCCTTCTATATGCCTGCCATGCTCATCTTTCTACCTACTACTACCCTTCAAGCAGCAAAGCAATTCGACTTGAAGCAAAAGTCGAATCGAGCAGGATCATCGTACATACATGCAAGTGAGGAGGAGGGTTAGCGGGGCTTTGATCATCTTCTTGAACTCTATGGCTCATGACAGATGTAGAAACTATGATGATAATAATAATAATAAAATGATATCCTAATCACCTCCCAGCCAGTCCAATCCTGTGTGTTGCCCAATGAAAACAAGAAGGGGGAACAGAGGTATTTATTGTACACAGTACAGCGCAGCTGCGCACACACAATTGCATAATACATAAAATGAGTTATACAATGAAAAAAAAAAAAAAAAAAGAGAGAGAAAAAAGGCCTGGATCGAAATTCCCCGGCATTTAAACCTCCACTTTGGTGGGTATCTTTATAGCCCCCCTCTTCCTCTCATAACTAGGCACACCATACCGACGACCAGGCGCGCTCGTTCCACGACCATCCATCCCAGTCGTCTCGCGAGATACCACCACGTCTCTGAACCGGAACTCAAAGCGGCTACCCTCCGGCTGGATTCGGGTCATCTTTGCCTCTTCCTTCGCCTTTGCAACTTCCTGCCGCTTCCGCATGGCAGCCGCTTCCCTCTCAATCCGCTCCGCAAACCGCTTCTTGTGCTCCCGGTACTCGCCGGGTCTCTGGAACCGGTCGTGCGCGAAGGCGACAAGGTGAGGGTGTGGGATTCGGTAGTCTGCGGGTTGGAGGACTTCTTCTTCGTTGTTGGGTTTGCCAAGTTTTTCGATCATGTGGGGGTTGTGAGTTACTTTTTCGATGGCTTCTGGGGTATTATGTGGGGTGTTGGCGGAGGCGTGGGGGAGGGCGGGTGCGGCGGAGAAGACGCGCCCTGCGTCGACGCGGGTGAATTGTCGGGATTCTGAGACTGGGTGGAAAATTTGAGCTTCTGTGAGACGGTGGACAGGGAGATCGTTTATGGATTCGTGGGGAACAGGCCGCTCAGGGTATTTTTTTAAGGGTGTCGTAGGGATCATCTGATGTACAGCCCGAGCGTACGGGATTGCGCGAGGTTTGTTCTATTATATTGGCTGTTAGCAAGGCTGTTTCAAGTAGATCAACTCGTGGTTATGACCATGAAACTCCGAAATTTGTAGATAATAAAAGGTATTGTCTCAGAGAGTTGTAATTTAAATTTTAAGTAAGCATTCTCCAGAATGGGAATTTAGGAGTCTTCAAGACTAATCGAATTTGTTTTGCTCATCATGACAAAGTATAGAAGAGGGAGGCGGACAATATAAGGCAGATAAAATGAAACCGACTTGAGAAAAGAAAACACAAACTATACATACCTCTGCAACCCATTTCTTCTCCAGCTCCACCAACCTAACCACAGCTGCAACTCTTTTCAAATCCACCCCATGCATAACACTAACTTCTCTAGGCGACTTCCCATATTCGACAACCTGTCTATGAATCTCATTCCTTAAATCCTCACTGAGAACTGACTCGCTCACAAACGTCGGATTAAGCGGGAATGGTCTAAGGTCTTCCAGCGTTTCCGCATCTGTGTCTTTGCCGCCCTCCTTGGAGCGGATCAACATGCCATTGTTGTTATAGGCGCTGATATAGTTTGTGCTGCCCGGTTTTGGGTTCTTAAACACCGCACCCGGGCCCTTTAGCCACATATGCACTTTTCGCCGCTTTTCTTCATCTTTGTCGTTCTGGGGCTCAGCGGGCGTTGGAGCAGCGGCGGCGTCATGTTGTAGTCGGCGTTGGGAAGGGGCGGTGGTGGATGATGAGGATAGGAGGAGGGTGAAGGAGAGGCACAAGGGGGCTGATGATTGAGAAGGTGAGGGATTGGATGTAAGACTGCAAGACAGCCGTCGCAGGCCTCCTAGCCGAGGAGGCATCTTGTGTGTTGATGTGTGTATGTGAGTGAGTGTAAGAAGAGGTTGGATGGAGCGTTCTACAACAAAAGGGGTGAAAACTGGGCGGGAAAAATGGGTAGAGAGGGGTTAAGGCAGCCAATTGAGGATATGTAAAATGAATGATTGGGAGGTTCAATGGCTGCCTGAACAAGTTGGTTGAGGGTAGAATTGGAGATTGGAGATGTAGTGGACTGGTGGAAATTGTTTGAAGCAATTTTTTTTCTCCAGTTGAGGTGATCACGTGGAAGCAGTTCGAAAGAGGACTAGCGCAATTTTCATTAGCGGCGAGGTCGCACCAAAGTGTACACCGATGGATATGGATCTCGAAATTCATTATAAGGGAGCCAAAAATCGATACGGAGGATGATGAAAGTGAAGCTGAAAAGAAGAAGACCAATGGCAATAAAGCAAACGTAAAATGTTTCAGCGACCCGCGTCTCTGTGTAGATCATTGACTATAAGCCTAGCTATGCTGAAGGGGAAAATAAGTTATTGATCCAACAAGTATCCATATCTCTCTGTTTCATTTGGAAGAGTAATCACTTGCTGATGGGAGATGATATGATAATCATGCCATTGGTGAGAATTTGACTCCATAAATAGAAGGGCAGGGGAAGAGGAAATTTTTTAGAAATTGAAAATGAAAGGGGCGCCGCGTGTGCAGGTATGGTATAGAAAGGTTCAAAGGGTGTGGAACAAAAGTTTGTGTAGCGCATTGTATAAATAATGATTTTTTAAAGATGTAATAAAAGAAGCTGGACAAGATGAATGAGGCAATGATAAATAAATAGGATGCCAACCAGCAGGGGAGACATGAGTAGTAAGAACGCAAATGCTGGAGGGGAATACAACTGGAGAGATAGAGACAGATATGGCCACAAAATTAGCAAGCAAAACAAGTGAAATAAAAAAAAACACCGAACCTTGCAGCAGAAAATAATAAAAGGCGCACGAAAAAACAAGAAAATATCCATGAATCCAGCACGAGAAGATTCCTGATCATCCTTCTCGTATACGTATCCTGCAGAGGCCCATTTTTCCCACGCCAAGAAACAGACAAGTAAAACACAATCGTTTAATATGTACGCCTTAACATGGCCGCTTTGTGAAATGGGCAAATCTCTCGAGGTGTTTTTTTCTTTTTCTTCTTTCATTTGGGGGGCGGAGAGGAGCGGGGGAAGAGGTCATCGACGAATAAGAAAAAGAAGGAAAAATATCCCACGAAAAAAATATATCGACGCGCTTGAAATGAAGGCTACAAAAATGATGTTGCGTGTAAAGGGGGGATAATTTTTGAGGGGAATAATTTTTGAAAAATAATAGGGCTGGCTCAGCAAAATAAATGATGTACCCCAGAAAACATCTGCGAAGGCAGAAAACGGATAAAGGGTAAATGGACAAGGAGAAAATGATGTTCGTAGTGCGACACAGACGCAAAATTTGGGAAATAAGAAAATGAGATGCAATAAAGAGGTAAAAGGAGCCGGCCACGAAAAGAAGACCCAAATTACAACCCCCTTTTTTGTCCGCGCGGGGGGGGGGGGGGTTGTAAACGAGAACGGGAACGAGTCCTCCTGAGTTCCAGCAAGGCCCAAGCGCGCACAAGCAAAATGCGCCGGAGCAATATGCACTTTCTCGCTAATCCCGAACAATAAAATAGCCGCTCCTTCCTTCAAGATTCCATGCAGTGGTCAATAGCCCCGAGAATAAGCCTGTAACTATGAGAAAATGGCAAAAAATAAACTGAGGGAGACAAATAAATATCGATGCAAGTATAAAACAAAAGTGGAAATTTACTCAAGAACAAAAATATAATAGTGGAAATCAAAGCACAAAAAGGGTCGTGGCATGGGGCAAAACATCAAAAGAGGCAGAGGCCAGCGTCGCATGACGATCTAACATGTAGAGTCCAGTGTTCCATAACGCCAGACGCTCCAGTACTCATCACACATGCAAAACATTATATAGATGCGTTTATATGCTTTGATCTATCGGCCCATGAAATCAGCATAAGCAGTGACATTCATGTTTGCCATACCTGGACCTGCCACTCCGCCGACAGGTCCGCCATTAAGAGCCTGCGAACGTGATGTCCCAATAGTGCCAGGGTTCATCCCGAGCCCCGACACTGAGTGGCTATTAAAGGTGGTGTTGGCTGCAGCGTTGTTGATGCCGGCCATAAGTGGATTGATCGAATTGTTTGTGCTCGCGAAACCAGGAGGGATGCCCAATCCAGGTGGGAAAGTGTTTGCTGTTGCGAAGAGTGGCATTCCGTTGCCATTTGTCGATTTCCCAGCATTAGCATTGGGCACTGCATTCATTCCAGGAGGTGGGCCTGGGCGGACCCCGAGAGGGTTTTTGGAGAAGCTAAGGCGAATACCGCCTTTAACGCTGTTAGACAATTGGTATCCGTACAACTCATGGAGAGCCTTGGTCGCAAAAGAGATGTCTTCAAATTCGACGAAGCACATGGGTCCGTTCTGCTTATTCCGGAAGCAGAGTCGCTTGTATCCGCGTTGTTTGGTAAACAAAGCCTTCAGCTCGTCTTCTGAGGTATCATGTGGGAGGTTTCCCACGTACAAGGTGTTGCAAGGAGGGTTCTGATCGGCTGGGTTGACGGGTGGATAATTTACCCGATGATATTGAGAAGCATGCATGTATCCAGAATTTGGTACTATTGTAGATGAAAGGCCGGGTGGCATTGTACTGGTGGGAGTCCCAATACTCGTATTCGATCGAGTGCCACCCAATTGCTGCATGGGAGTACCAACATTTGTCGACAACGAGAGGCTGGCGAAGTGAGATAGAGGGACTGGTGGGTTGGTCAACCGCCGCTGCAAAGCTACCGGATTAGAAGGTCCGTTCCGGGCATACCCAACAGGGTCACTCAACAAGTCGCCGGTATCTTCGTCAGGATCTTGTTTGATCATCATTTTGCCGGAGCCGTACGAGCGATCACTGATTGAATTTTCGATCGGCGACTGAGGGGAGAATATGGATGTGAGTTGAGAATTTCCGTCTGGCGCTGGAAGCTCATTATTCCCTGCTCTTTCGAAAGCCTGGAAGGCGCCATTGAAAAGCGACGTCTGGCGCGTTAGGGACGGCGGAGCGCTAACTTGAGACGCGGAGTTTGACAGGGCGCGGCTTGACGCATGGTCGATTGTATTGCGGCGCACAAGGGAGGCAGATGGAGCATTAAGAATTTCAACGATCATATTAGCTTCACCCGTGCTGTTCAGTTTGCCATGGAGAGCGTTCCGAACTTCCTCTGCTGCGGCTCTCGTTTCGAAACGTGCGATCGCAGAGCGACACTGGCCGTCTTCAGGATGTTCGTTCGGAACGAAAGCGTAATCGACCAAGTGTTGGGAAAATGTAAGTAGCCCGTGCAGCAACTCGTTGCTGTATGTTGGTGCTAAACGTCGCAAAAGAACAGCAACAGTGCCGCCATTAACATTTTTAGTAGGATATGCTCCACTCATGCCGTTCATATTCGGCATGCCATTTCCACCAGCATCCATTTCTGCAAGATGCAATGACGGCTGGCCTATCGGCGGAAGCATGGTATTAAAAGCTGCGGAAGCGGTCGATGATGGTTGAGATGATACAGGAGAGAATGGTTCGGGTATACTCGCGTTGTGTATGTTGGATGTGCCGTTGGGTGTGGAGACTGGGAGATGGGAAATTGCGGCAGAACTGGAGCCGTTGCGCTTCAGCGTTGGCCTATTGTACATTGCGTCCGACTGGTTCGACTGACCGTTGCTCATGGTCGATATAAAGACGCTTAAGGCAAGGAACGTGCTGGCGTAGAGAGGAAGTCGAAAGTCCCCTTTTCTCCTTTAGGACGATCCTCGCGAAGGTGTCGCGGGTCGCGTAAATTGATGGGTCTCACGGTTGATAAACAGTAGCAATACGAAGCGATCGTAAGAAGCTGTAGTATAATTCGAGAAATTTGTTTAAATCGAGTTCGAGGAGGATCGAAGGTCAGACTCGACGCGAGAAAGGAGATAGGAGGCTGGTCGGCGTAGGATTGGTGTGACGAACAGGTTAAGAACTTCTGCGCATCGCTAGAGGACGTCGAGCTGAGAAAGGTAGCTGTTTCGCAAATGTCAATACTATAACTTTGAAAATCGCAATACAAGTGATTGACAATGAGCGATAGACCGAATAAAGTGGAATTGCAGAATAATGGAGTGTGTGTGGATCCAGTAAAGATGCGTTGGGTGTACAGATAATCCAAATCAACAAAGCGATGCGATGAGGACGATAGCGTAAGATAGCTGCAATAACAAAATGGGAAGCCAAAGGAAGATGCCGCGCTCCGAACTCAACATTGAGCAGAGACCGTGACGGTATAGGAAGACGAGGATCGGGTGATGAATCCAATGGAAGGTTGTACAGGGGGCTTCTTTCGCTTTTTTTGGCCCGTTTTTTCGGGGAGGGAGGTGTGTTTGGTAGAAGGAACCGCAAGAAAAATGACACAAAATGAACAATAAACGGGGAAAATATGAAGAGCGATTTGAGAGCTGAAACGAGCAAGAGAGCGAAAGGAAGAAAGGAGAAGAAAGGCTATGTGCAGACAAGAGGGCGGATGCGAACAATGGGGAGAGTTGGGTCAGGTTGAAGATGAAGAAAGGAACGAGGACTACTAACAAGGGTTCCAGATTGACCCAGGGCCAGAAAAACAACTGGGTTCTGAGAGATGGATCTCCAATAGCAAGTCGAATAAATATGCGCGAGGGTGGTGATTGAAGATGGGCGACACGGTGCCGATGTTATTGGTAGAATAATAATGGCGGAATAGTGTTAAGGTGCGCCGGAAGATTTTTTCGATGGGCTTGTCTCTTATTCGGAGAGGTGACAGTCACTGTTGGAATCGCGCAAGCTTCGAGCCCAGACGAGCGAGAGCCGAGATCGAAAAGGTCGGAGAAAGGTACGACAAGTGCGCTGGGAGCAGAGACGGCAGGACAGGCTGCTGCTTGGCTGCTTCAGCTAAGACTTGCTAGTGTGATTGGAAGTGTGTGTCTGGGTGCAGTTACCAGTCTCCTGCGCCCGCTAGAGTGCAGGGTTGGCAGCACAGCGAATGTGGTTGGCTGGCGCGATGGCTAGGTGGCCGATCCAAGGGGGTTACGTGAGGGAGGGTACGGAAATTGGGACGGATTGGTGGGAAGAGCGTATGGGGTTGGAGGAAGAGGGAGGACGATGCAGAGAAAAGCGCGACTTGGAGATGAAGCTGGAGTTTGGAGATGGCGAGATGGCAAGATGGCAAGATGGGGAGAGAGAAATGGAGAAATGGAGAGATGAGGAGATGAGGAGACGAGGAGATGTGGAGATGGAGAGATGAAGAGGTATGGTATGTGGTTGACACAGGATGAAGATGGATGGGAGGATGAGAGGAAGAAGAGGCTCTGCGGCGAAATTGGTGGTTCTCCGCAGGCAGGAATCTTTAGTGGCGATGGGTGTTACCTAGGTACACCATTAGGCTTACTCCGGGCGCGGGGGAGCCTAGAGTCTAGGCGCCTTTTAGGGGTGACGGGTGGACAGTTATGGGGAACGATAGAGGACCTGATAGCCCGATAGTAAAAACTAACGATAGCTGTAGATCTCCAGAACTGCTACAGAGTAGGATCCGAATGGCTCTGCTGAGTCCACTTTTGTAAAATTTGTTGCGTGGTGCAAAATGCTTAAGGTTTAAAATAAATACTTCCGGATGCCCTGGGAGTTTACCGATTATGGAACAGCGCAAGGATGGTGGCCATCATCGCAGTAACCTGGAACAATGCGCACCTTTGAGTTAAAAAGTAGTCTCCAGCCCGTTCTGCACAACTTCACTGTCTCTCGACACCCAGCTATCATCCAGTGAAGATGACGTTGGGGATGCTTTCCTTGCCCATGGGAACTACATGAAATAACCGCATATATGTGCAACACCCCAGAGAAACGATTAGGGAAAAAAATTTAACACTTAAGAAGGGCCCCGCGAGATAAGATGAACCCTTCACCTGACCGTCTGAAGACATATCTCCACCGAATCTATGAGCACTTGACATACGGACGAAACCATATCTACAACGGATGGCTTCAACAAATGCATTTGAAGTTGACCAACAGCGCGTATCCAACCCCAAACTTCCTCTTTTGATAACATCTGCAGATTCATTGTGCCATTCCTTGCGTCTTCCTGCTTCTTTCCTGCCAAGACGATCCCTCCTGTCCTCCAAGGTTTTCCGGGGAAGCCCCCAGCTTAGGGGTTGGGGACCAGACGGAGCCTCTCCTCTCATTCGTGCTTTAACATGTTCGACGACTAGAAAGAGATCTCGCGGCCGCTTTACAGATCTGTACACGGCGAGGAATTTCGATCATCTCGAGTTTTATTCCTCTCAGTTCATGGTCGACCGGATAAAGAAACCCGTTGTTGGAACTTGGTGGGATCTGTTGAACCCAATGAAACTCATCCCCAGTCATTCTTTTAACTGAACCCAACCCAACCGTTGGAATGAGTATGCACCTGTCCCCTTCCAATCAAGGTTCAGCCTTCTTAGCTAATGAGGGGAAAGTGGATTGTTCTGGCCGGTGCGTACATCCATGGACGAGTTCCGACTCCTGAAACTTGGAATAATCCTGACGCTAACTGTTATATGTATGCGTTTGTGAATTTTTGTTATCAATAATTGAATGGATACACTCTATAACCCCTAAGAGCAGTCCAAACAACCGTGGAAGCCTGACTAATATAAGATGAGTTGATTTGACGAAGAAGGGGGTCTTCCATTTACGATTCCTGTCTGGCAGATGTTTGATGGGCACCAAACTGTCCGTGCCTGAGAGGAGTCATTCGCAACCGGCCCTACCCAAATAGAGTCAAAGCTTTATAGGGGGGAGGAAAGCCATACGCCTATGGCTGGGAAAAAGGCTTAGGAAAACGGGCTAGAATGATGTGACAAAAATTGAAACGCACCTTAGCCTGTTCTTTTCCCTCACTTATAAACCTGAGGATCAGCCAATCAGCTAGCGTCGGAGCGGCAGACGCGCAAAATGGAATTCTTGGGAGAAAAGAAAAAAATGGAAAAATTAGAAAAATGGAACCTGCCAAACCAGAATCGTGGAAATAAAAGAACAAGAAAGGAGAAGATGAGAACAGGACTCGGGAAATCAACAAAATGGAGGGTTCCCTGTCATTATTTGACCACCAAATTAGGCGCGCCAATTCAGAGAATTTATTTTCTTACCAAACCAAACCCCAGACAGGGACTCCAGTCTCCCGGTGTGGAGGGAAAGAAAAAGTTGATCATCGTATCCACCAATTGTTGATACGATCCCCTCCTAACTGCCAGTAATGTGCTACTTGGGCCGGTAAGCCCGGTGGGACGTGACCCATGTCCACATCATTTCAGCCGGGGCCCCTATTTCATCACCGACTTACAGCGCCCGCTGCTCTCTCTAAGAAAAACCGAACCCAGGACCAATGTACCGGGGTTGCCTAGGTCCGCGCCATCACCCAGGCTGGCCAATAAGATACTGGAAGCAAAATCTCGCTGTCGCGTCGTCTCAGCGGGTGCAAGCCCAACTTTCACAGCCTGTGGAGCACAAGGATGGTGATTAACCAAGAATAATCTCATTTCTCGGTCCATGTTCCATGTTGCCAGAAGCTGCGCAGCCGCGCGTGCTGGGATAGAAGGACGTCTTGAGTGAAGGCTCTTTTTTCGTGTTTAGTTAGGAGTGCGATGATTTTGGCTGACACATTGTTGTCTTGGGACCAAATAATAACTAAATCGCGGTTGTGATTTTTGGTTTCTACCGCTAATTTCTCCGCGTTGCATGCCTTGGCGTGCCACATCCCTCAGGACTCGGGAGATCCTCTTTTGTTATTGTGGAGATATAAATATCAAGGATAGAATTGGCCAAGTGATTGTTCCACGAGGACTTCTAGAATGGTATGTTTTGGTGAAAAGTTCAGTAGTGGGTGGGTGAGCTTTTGGTTGCATTTGTCAAAAGTAGTATTTCTCATGCGATGCTGATCTTTTAAACCAGAAAATGAAAATGTGGAGGTAGAATCAGATATCTCTTGTCCTCAATTGCAAATGTGTTTGTCCTCAAAGAAATGTAGAGAATGTGAATATATATCTCTTTTAAGTATAATGACTAGTGACCTAATACATCTTCACTTAAAATATGGTCAAAACTTGCTGTTGCTAACAGTGTATGTAAAATACATATTTAGTATGCACCGAGAACTCAGTGCTAAGTCAGTTGTCTTTCTATATTATTTAAAATATTAAGAAGATGTTCTAAGCCTGTAGGAGAGTATCAATAGATGGATGCTAATGCAAGTATATGTAGAATAGATGATAAAGAATGTGCCTTGTCTGATCTTATAACAAGTAGCATGGCCACGTAACAGAAGAACGTGAATTCATGTGATTGTTAAAAATCTTTTTCAAAACTTTCTACGCATAAAATCCATAAGAAGGGTAGTTTGTCTAAGCATGAGGGATTTGGAAAGATGAAGTGGAAAAATGGAACAGAAGGAGATATTAGACCCATGAGCCAGAAACAAGTGGGTATATAGAAAATGCTGTTGCTCGATTTAACGTGGTATATACAAACAGACAGCTTCCTGAATTGATATGTAGACTCTAGTAGGGAGGTTGTGTAGATATATTCATATCTTGTTCTACGCCGTACAAAAAAACTCGCATCATGGGGCCTTAGGGCTAGGAAATGTGTCTGCGATGATACTTGATTCGAAATGGGATGAACATCTCCGTCAGAGCACAGGGACGGGTGCATCCGAACGGTGAAATACCTAGGGAGCATTATTCACTTGAGATGCTCAAAGGAATAAGAGAAACGGAGAAATCTGAATCTCGATTGAACCGAGAATTTCTCGAGAGGCTTATCTCTGGTAGCAATCATCACAGCTCTTTGTGAGTTGGCGTAACTCAAGATAATTTATTGCGAGAGAATATATGGCACCTGAGGCGATCTTTCAAAATCTATTCATATTAACCGTTAAAATCGAGCGAAAATTGGTCCAAAAGTGATCTAAATTTAATATGCGTGCTTCGTTGATCGGGTAGATTTGGCGGCAATACCCTCAACTTTTGAAAATTTTTATGGGCACAGAACAATCAAGCAAGCTGGAGAAGCCGGTGACTGCCAAGCAAAAAATTAGTATCCCTGGACAGTGGCCAAGGGCGGCCCTTGATATCTCCTTCCGAAAGAGATGTTGACACTTTTTCTTCACAGGGCGAGAAATGCTTTCAACATCCCATGCCTCGAAGTACGAGGTGGGGATGATGGGAGAATTCAACAACATTCAGCGAGAAGGAACCTCGCCGCTCACGCCGCTTCAACAAGGGCAGATTATGGTTCCACTCCCGTGTACTGGAGGTAGCATTATCTATCCGAAGCCAAAGCAAGATCCAGGTGCCGAGTCAGAGGGCAGCTTTACAGGGAAACCTCAGCTGAGAACACCCATGCAGCAACAAGGTTTTAAGGTTGGAGGAGTATGCCAAGCCCACTATTCCTTATTTGCACAACGCCCCCAAAGCCCCCAAGCAAATGTCAACGACAATCGCAGAGCCGCTTCTTCGCCTCTCCTGATTTGGTCCGTGCCGATCAAACTTCTCAGAACGCCTCACGAAACGTTGTTGTATGATGTACGGAGTATTGAAAGTGGTCACAATCGTGGCCATCATGGCTACCAACACACCAGCCAGCAAGAGAGCTAGATGGCGAAAGGCAGGGCCAGGTTCATAGCTTCACAGATCACTAAGAGTGGATGGGCGTTACTCCGGAAGCGCGATCGTGGTGGAAGTTCAGATCTTTCTTCGTCCTCCTGCCCTTCGAAATGGGGTTGCATCAGGCATTGTCAATGATTATCGTATTCGACCCCCCCAGAAGTTCTGGATGCAACAACAATCGTCTATCCGTCAAGTCAATTGTGGCCCAAACTCACCATAAGCTGAGCATCACTGAAGAACCGTTTTACTTATTTAGCGTCCCCAGCTGAAAAAGGGAGATGCGCTCCCAGCAGCGCCTCATTCTTTGCAGGTTGATCAACAGTTTTCAATGAAATTTTGTTTTTCTTCTCACTCCCAACTCTAATGGACCCTGAAATCTAAATATTGGTACATTGAAGAGCGGATAGAAATGCCCCTGACAAGTGTTTTGTCCTTGGATTCCTGTCTGATCGTTACCCTGGTCTTGTTCTTTTTCGCCCCGGATTAGAGAGATAGAAAGGTTGTAACTTTGTTGACGGGCTGTGCGAAACAAAGAACAAAAGCGTGGTGATGAATCGATGGAGCCATTCTCCCAGAGACGAGATCCAATCAAGAGGAGAAACGTATTCGATCCCTGGCAGTTTCTCATGGCATCAGTCAATTAATTTTCAAGCAATCAACACCCCACTAGCGGAGATAATAATTTCGCTGGAATGGTCCCTCCATTGTTGCTCCACATGTTTGACGATGGCTACTGCGTACATCTCAAGGGTCGATTGGGGCTAAAAACCAGAGAGGACGTCAAAATACGAGTTTTGAGCCGCTCTAACTCGCGCTAATAAGCATGAAGACAGGCAACTCGCCTACTGCTTCATCTTCGTCCTTGTCGATATTTCCCCCCCTCACAGTCATTTTATTCTGTGGATGAGCCGCTTCCCCCTTGGCTGCCTGCCATGCGTCCATTCTTTTGATCAAGTAACTCTTCATAAAGCACCTACAGCCCAGTCACTCGTTTCCTTTTCGTTCTCTTGAGCTCCTCCTTTCTTTCTTGTATCCCCTGGGTACACCCTTTCTTTTTGCTATTTTATTTTTGTACGTGTCTCAAGGACCAGTTGGGAAGATGACCGAGTTGACGGTTGGTTATATGTCCGGCATAATTGCCGCAGGAATTTTTATACGTACGGGTTTTTTTGACATTGACAGCTACGGATAGTTCAAGAAGCCTCGATTTTCGTTCGAATATCCCCTAGCTGACTACTTACTACCAGTTCAACGTTTCACTCCAACGGCAACTTCTCTCATATTAAGTGGCCTTTTAAGAGAGGAAAATACGGCTGCAACATGGTAGGACTTCTGCTAGCCCCTAATACCTTTCTTCTAGTAGATTCTCATCCACGCGAGTAGGACTCAGGTTGCCCGTGCTTTGCATTCGACCTATTGGCCGACCTTTGTCGGAGCCGATACTGTTACCTCTGGTCCCGTGAGCAGAGTTGTCCAGCTTGAAGCGTTGATGAGACCCTTGGTTCTTGGAGTTATCGCCATTGCAGCAATTGTCACCCCTTTAGGCCTGTATGATGCTATTGTTCCTGCTGAATCAAAAACTTTTCACCCTTTTCAGTACACCCAAGACCACTCTTCATTTGGATTTGGAACACCACCAAGGACCGACCTAGGGTTTAATCGATTTTGTGGTAATATGGGGCACACTAAATGCCCTGGCTCAGATGTCGTGATCGAAACTCATCGAAATGGTTCGCAATACTTTCCCTATGGCTACGATGCCCGAATCTCGCCAAAAATCAAGGAAATGTATCAGAGCGGCCTCAAGTCCTTGCCGCCCACTGTTTCTAGCCTTTGGGATATTGAATGGAGGTCGTATGGAATCGGAAGGGAAAATGATGTCAACAATGGTTCCAGATTCTTGGTCGGAGATTACCGACAGGCAGGTGTCCTGGCGCTGAATAATGCATATGATAACGTGGAAGGCCTGATCGTTGATACTAAAAACGGTGGAATTGGGTTTCGTAACCACACCACTCCATCGCCGCTACCTTATGGCAGCGAGTGGTCGGAGGACCTGCTCTTTGTTGAGCCTCATACAGTGTGTATCGATACTAATTTGACTATGGATTTCGAAATTAGTTTCTCTGGCACTAGCACGATTCAAAATCTAGTCCTTACTGATCGCGGTGGATTTGTGGATCTCAATACCGATTATCCTACATACGACCGATTCAACAGCCAGAGTGATCCTGATTTGCGTGGAAGGGCACACAAGGCTGCGTACCTCAACAATGCACTCACTATGATCTACCTCAACGTTTCCAATCCGAGAACCAAGAATTTGGAGCCCTTTTCCTACATGAATTCTGAAATGAACAAAGCATTCCCTCTGGAAGGAAATATAAGGGCATATCCTGATAGATTCCTCACAAACCAAAATTTCGGCAGCTACCTAAAACTTGCTTCAAGGTTGACGAACTCCACGGTTAATAGCACAGGTTCCGGCGATGATTACCCAAATCCGTTCGATATTACCAAAGCAAATTTTAGCTCCATAGGTAAGTTACTTTAGTTCACCTCTCAAACGAGTATCTATGGGGCTGACCATTTTGTAGAAACTCTGTGCCAGGGAGCCGGTGGCCTTGACTATGCAAATATTACGAATATCAGCGCAGTGTGTGGGATGGCATTTGGAGCTGCCACACGCGGCGATGGATCTCGTTCGCTAGTGTTCGAACCGGGCACCGCCTGGACTGTGCCTTTGTATAGTTGTGCGTCGGCAGCCCGTGCTGTGATAAAGACGGTCGATTTCCGATTCAACGGCACGGATGGACTGAAAAGTCTTGCAATTCGCAGTATCCGCGAAAGGACTTACGCAAAGGATGCCGACAAACCGCTTTGGGGAGTTGAGCGCTCTGAAGAAATTTTGAATGAAGTTTTACCTCTGTGGGGTTTGGTGTCGGATGAATACAAAGGGAGGGACGATATTTCGGTCATTCAAAAGGAGTCATTATGGCTCCCCGGATACGCTGGACATCTTGGTAGGTCACCGGTGGGATACTCAAACCTACCGGGTATGTATTTCCATACTAGCGGGTTCAAGACAGCTTATGATGTAAGCACGTCCCCGCCAATCGGAGTCACTGATTATTCTGGGCAAACAAACATGGCGATGTATGCAAAATGGCAGGAATTGTCCTCTAAAGCAAACACCACAGCAAGGATCATCAACTTAGTGTGGACAGACGTTGCTGCGAACGCGGTCCTAGGAACCAAGGGCTGGATTTCGCAGATGCGGGCGAGTGTTGCCAGACGTGACAATGGAGATGGCCAAGGCTCGCCGCAGCCGGCGAACAATGACCAACGCGAAGTCCCAGTGCTCGTCTTCTGGAAAGTTATCAAGTACGACCTGAAATTCGCTATTCCCGCCTTCATCGCCCTCGTTTTCACTCTCTTCATCACATCCGCAACATGCCTTTTGTGCTTGTTTGGCTCTGCAAGGCCATCCAGGATGCGAAAGTATCTTTTCTACACCTCCGCGGGTCGCATAATGGCCGGCTTTGTGTATCCCAACCAAATCGACCCTCAAGCCCCAACAAAGCAGTGGAGTAAAAGTGTTGGGTTTAAGAGAATTGCCGTTAATGGTCCCGTTCCCACAGCAAGGGATCCAGTGATGACGTCTAACTTTGGAGACTCGAATACAGCGAACACGGATGCTCCCCTGCTCAAAAACGGTGGTCAACCACAACAGCCATACCAGGCGTGAGAGCGAATGTCACAATTCTGTCTTCCTCAAAGCCGAACCCTCGTTTCAATAAGGCCAAATCTCGCGGCCATAACTTGGCTTTGAATGACGATAATAGCTGAAATCGGTTTGCCTGATCTAAGCGTTTAAGCATTTCACCCAGTTTATGTGTAATCCATGCGTGTCTAACTCGTTCCCGATAGCTCTCCCTGACCACTTGATTATGTCGTACTTCTGGGCTCTCGCTTGTTGGCCTATCTTCTCTAGGAAGTTCAATTATTTCTGGGGACGGTTTAACATATTCTGACAGTCAAACCCACCCTTTGAGTACATATCATGTTTTTTACTATATCCTACGTATTGTTTTTTCCCCCTATTTCTTGTTGCTGAGTACTCATCTTGAATATGAAGCGACAGATTATGCCCGCAGTTCTGTTCGCCACCTATTTTGGAAACCGTCGTTTTGAGTAACCGTTCCTGTATCTGCTTTCCTGCGTTTACAAATTTTCTGGCTGATTAAATGATACGAGCCCTCTTTCTACACTCATATATCCTACGTGGAATAATTATTCATCTAATATACAACTCAATTCAAACCAACATTTTCTAGAAATACACATACATAAGCGATAACGGATATTAAAAAAAGAAAGAAAATGAACACAGACAACTAATTGGAGAAATCCAAACGCCGTAAAATGATGAAATCACGCTCTCGAGAAAACGTAAGGTTGGTACATGTAGTGCGTATGCAGGTGAAGAGCAGGATATCTAGTTTGATACCGGCTGTTTTATCCCGCGTGAATATCGTTGATGGTAATTGCCCTTTCCTGCCTTCTTTCTTTTGCTTGGCGGATCATACTGTTCAGGAGCGCAAAGGACTCATTCAGCCTAGCTACCACAGGCGTAGAGAGTTTCGTTGGGAACACCGGGAAGGTTCATTATTGTGTAGCTTTTTCCGCTGCATTATTTGTTCGCATTTTCCCGAGTCGAGGTTCAACGAGGCCCACCTAATTTATACATGATGTGTTAGAAATCCATACATGATCTGATGTGATCCAATATTGAATGAGAAGGTAATGAAACGCTACAATCTCCAAATACAATCTAGCAACCAGGTCGCGAGCACTTCCTATCTAAATCCAGACAAACACACCACCCCCAAACCCAGCCCAGTACTTTCACCTAGGAATGGGGAAGCCAATAATACAGAGAAATCAAACTAATTGAAGCCTACTAGAAAAACCACAACGTAGGACATACCAAACTCAGCAATCTCCATACAGGTTCGCTCGGTTGTGCACCAACACCCAACCAGTATTTCGTCCGCGACCTATCGAGCGCGATATCTTTGAAAGGCTTTGCTACCTTGGCTTCTGCTTCCGAGAGGCCAGTTGGTATCCTAGGAATAGGACTGTAAGTTCCGATAACTTCCAGCGGTTTCGAATCTCGCGCCGACCTGTGAATCCCAGCCCGCAAGGCACCCGAATGGTCAGCCAAATATATTCATATCCCAACGTGGTGTACTAGCGGATTTGAACGCAACGAATGACGCGTAACTCTTTCATCGGCGGCGACAATCCGAGCAGATATATTCCGATCTCCTGTCGCACTCTGCATATCCAGGAAGGAGAGGGGGGCGATGTGAAATCAGAGTATTATAGGAGAGCTGCGTGCTTGAGTTTGCGGCGTCGGGCTTCACATACCGTGCTTGCGCCACAACAATGTTGTAGAACGGCTGGTGGCGGTTCCCGAAACGGGATAAACGAATTTTGACGACCATTATAAAGGAGGACAATGGGTATCGAAAAACTCCGGCGATCGATTGAGATCACAATTCAACTGCGGGATTCGATGGACGGCGAAGGTTGCGGCTCTGAACATTTTGACAGATCCGGAGAAACAATTGAAGCGAAATATCACGTGATATAATTACGGGTTCCCGCTGGGCGTTCATGAGGGAGAAACAATACGAAATTGGCCCAGCAGTGCAGTGGATTCTTCTAAGATAGGTGATTATTTGAGGTGTAATCATCGATGAATAGTATTAGTCTAAGGTAAGTAGGATCTTAATTTGTTATGTTTGACCATTATCCGCCTAAGATTCAAACCATTATACGGAGTATATAGTTAGTATATAATGGCTAGAAAAATCACGAATTTATAAACCAGTCGCGCATGCTCTCACCCGCAAGCTGCTGAATGGGTTGGTAGTTAGCACGCGCTAGACAGTCTCCAAAGTGAAGCAACATTGAAACAATCGGTAGGCATTGCAGCTATTGTTCAACCATTATAGTTATATAATTATATAGCAAACGGATGGGGATCTAGCGTGAAGCCCAGAGAGACCATTAACTTAGTTACATCAGCAACATTTTCCGACTTAACGACGTCATCCCAAGTTTACCTCTACAGAACAGACTCGGAGATGTTGGACATACATCGTCGCAAGCAGGCCATTGCCAATTTCTGGTCCCCCTAAAATTTATATTAGCGGCCACTAAAAACCCTCAAGACGGCAAGCTACGTGCTACTTCTCTCATCTAATAACTTACATGTACCGTGTCCGACCGCGAGCAGGTGGATTACTTACCCATTTCCAAAAGTATAGATCGCTCACAACCATGACGCTCAAAGTTCGTATAATCTTTTCTACTTCGACATGTGTCCCTCATTACAAGATACATTACATCTGATACGACCCATTAGACCATTAGCGCAAAAGATGCGGCGTCCCTTGACAAGGACCTCATGGACAAAGGGGGTTTCTCCCTCGATCAGCTCATGGAGCTGGCGGGGCTTTCTGTATCACAAGCTGGTATTGTCTTATACCTAGCTGAGAAATAACGATTTGCTTTCACGTACAGTGTCTGGTTCAGGGTGGCTGACTGGGTGTATTGCTTGACGACAGTCTATCGAGTTCATCCTCCATCCACAGGCAGAAATGTCCTCGTAGCCTGTGGCCCCGGAAATAACGGTATGGGATCAGAGCTGGCCTATTTCGGAAGCCTTGTTTTACCTGTGCTGCCGTATCGTTGGTCCACAGTATTAAGCTGACTGACGATATATAACTCACGCAGGTGGTGATGGGCTTGTTGCCGCTCGTCACCTAGCTCACTATGGATATAAGCCGACTGTATATTACCCGAAACAAGGGAAAAATGAATTATACGCGGTTTGTATCCTTATCACTTGCAAGGACTATGCACAATTCCCGCTCCTTCCCTATTACCAAGTCACTCAGCCTAAACATATCCAATATCGCAAGAAACTTCTAACGAAACTACAAGAAAATAGCGCCTAAAAACCCAACTACACAACCTCTCCGTCCCCTTCACAACCGACTTCGCAGGTACCCTCCAAACCAGTGATTTCGTAATCGATGCAATTTTCGGCTTCTCGTTCCTAGGACCACTTCGCGACCCGTTCCCGAGAGTAATCTCGCTTATGGAGGAAACCAAGGTACCCATCCTGAGCGTTGACGCGCCTAGCTCATGGGATATAGAAACTGGCCCGCCGAAGGAAGGGCCTGGGGCAAAGTTTATGCCCCAAACGCTGATCAGCTTGACAGCTGCGAAGCCGTTGGCTAAATGGTTTACGGGAAGGCATTTTTTGGGAGGCAGGTTTCTGACTAAGGGTATTGTGGAGAGGTATGATTTGGATATTCCTGAGTATCCTGGGGTAGAGCAGATTGTTGAGGTGGATGTTAATAAGGAAGGGAAGTTGTGAGGGGTGCAGCGGCTTTAGGGGAAGGGGATGGTAGATTTCATACATATCTCATTGAAATTACTGATTCCTTCCTTCTAACAACATTTATTCTCATTGGTACGGCATGTTGGTGACAAACATTGAAGATGAAATAAATTTCAATATAAATGTTAGTCGACGCTAGTCTAGGAGGGTAATAGGGTAAGAAACGAGAATGGCCTTCGTTTATCCAAGCGCACTTCTGATCTCATCAACCACACTCTTGACCCTTGGTTCCCTACCAAATCCACAACTAATAACCTTCGATAGTGCCATGTTGATGTCATATATTTCTTTCGCGGCGCTTTTCACTTCTTCCCCAAGCGCTGTAACTAAAGTACCCAACGCAACAAGCACACGATATACAGCTTCAGAGTCTTTTTCTTTCATCAGAAGTTTAGTTAATCCATCGAGAAGCAAGAGGGCTTTCTCCGAGGATTCAGGACTCGAAGCCCTCCCGTCACTTGTAACGAAGACAGAGAAGTTAATATATAGGGTTGCAATGGCGATGGTTAGGTTGCGATTCGGCGTCCCCCCAGAGTTTGCAGTTACAGACCCGATTTGCGTCATGATGTCGTCAAACCTGCTAATTGCTAGAGCTCGACCAGCTTTGGTTTCGAATAAATTTGCAAAAGTCCGTACTGTTAACATCGCGTTATTCACGTTGAGAGGTGACTCGAAAACGCCGCTTGAGATGAGAGTTGAGATCAGATCACCACCAACATAGTCCGTTGAGGCTGTCACAGGGCTTGCGGCAGCGAGCAGACGGAGTAAATCAAGACCGGGAAGCCGGTTAGCAACGGGCCATGCAGTTGCTATTTTGACGATCAGTGGTATTCCGAACTCGACCTGCGGCGATTCTTTTAACGGGGATGTCTGATTCAGTTGATTGCAGAGACCTATGACAGTCTCCACTTCAGACGGACTCAGCGAAAGGTCTTTCGATCCAGAACTAACGAGTTGCTCATTCAGTTCCAAAACCTTTTTCTGGATTGCCTTGATATTTGCGGTTTTTATAGCAAGGTATGATGCTTGTGGTAAAACTTTCGGACGAGATGTTGGAATGGATGGAGCATTGTTGGCTGATCCATCACCAGGCCGATATCTCTTTTCTTCGCCCCATGGATCGGCTCCTGGAGGCGGTGGGCCTTGGCTTTGTGTCGCTGACGAACCAAGGGAAGCACCCTGTGTATTTGTGGTTATGAAATTAGCGACCTGGTCCAGATACCCCATCGGTAATTCGTTATTTTGTATAAATTTGGTCGCTGCTTCGTACGGGTTTTGCGAAAGGTTATATGGAAGTTTCAGGGGAGGCTTCCCATCCTCTATATCAACATCGAAAACGTAGTCGTAGTCCTGCCCGAGATATTCCACCTTTCTACCACTGCTGGCTGCAGAGTCAACTACAGTTCCCACAGATATCCACTGGCTCGTGGCTGTTGACCAAGTATGAGCCGTGACACTTCCATCATCCTCGCGAATCATCTGAACCTGGCCTTCTTTCGTTCCCAGCTTTTGCTTCAAGAACTCTGGACCTGGTAGTTTCTCTTTATTGATATTCCCAACTTGCTGCTGTGGGATAGACGACTCCTTGACTGAGGTTTCAAATTGGGCGATCACGGTAGGATCTGCATGGCGCTCCTGGGCTCTACTGAAGACTCGAGTAATTCTATCGCTGGCCCCGCTAACAATGTCACCGTTTTCTTGACATGCTGCAATGCTCCAGACAGATATTGCTGGATGTGTAATGGTCTGTATGCATCGATCACCACTCCATATCCTGACAGTCCGGTCCTCACCCGAGCTAACTATTTCCCCCGTCGGTAAGGTGGTCAATGAATAGATGAAACTTTCATGACCACGGAGTTCCGCAACTTGTAGGCCTTCTAGGGTCCATAATCGTATAATGCCATCATTGCTGGCTGACGCTATCTGCCCGCCCGACGGGTGGTTTGGAGGAAGTTTACAGAGGGCACGAACAACGTCGCCAGCCTTCATACTTCGCAATAGTTTTCCAGCCAGGTTATATATGCGGATCATTTGATCAGCGCATCCTAAAAAATAGTCAGTACGAACCCCTCTAATACGGCAAAATGCATTCGTTTTAAAGTGCCCGTACCGGTTACTATAGTTGTCTTGTCAAAAGCCAGCACAGCCCAGACGCTCCCTTGGTGATCTTCAAGTGTAACTTCGCATTCCCACTTCCCAACCTTCCACAATTTTGCTGAAGAATCCCAACTCCCGCTCACTACCCACTGGCCCTCCGGACAGACATCTATGGAGCATACATTGTGAGAATGACCAAGAAGCATCGCATCTGCATTTGCGTCAGCAGGTTTCCCGGGCTGCCGTGCCTCAATAATAGTATCTTGACCACCGGAGAATATCAGCCCTTCGGGATAGTCTGAGGTTGGAGGGTAGTAGGCTAAGGAGTTTATGAAAGCGGACCCGTGGGAAGATATTTTGTAGTCGTAGACCGGAGGCGGAGTGGAGGTGAGGTTCCAGACACGGACGGTCGCATCCCGCGAGGCGGACAAGACAGCTTTGGAGTTAGGAAAAGCCACAGCGCGAACCTTTAGGTACAAGGGACTATTAGTTTCCCATTTTCAGACGTCATTGATTGGGACGGGGTCCCGTAGGTATCTCGTTAGCAAGCACTTACATCATCGGTGTGGCCCTCCAAAGTGGCCGAGATCTTGAAGTCTGGCATATAGGCTATTGCCCCTAAGCGGTCCTTAGACCTTGCTACTATTCGTTTGATTGATTTTCGCTGCCACTGTTCTCTGAATTCTGATGCAATAACTGAATTTGAATTTGGAGAGTGTATTAGGTATTAGAGGACAAAAGGTGTTGCGGGTTGGGGTTGGAACAATGCTCCAGCACCGTGGTAGGGTAGGGTAGGGTAGTAGGCATGGCCAGGCACCCCGCTGCTATTGGTGGGGAACTTGAGGAGTCAACAATGCTTACTAAATCGCCCAACTCCATCCTGTGAACTTTTGTGCTGGATATTTTAACTGGCTAAACTGTGACTACGATAGATAGGATTTGGCTACGAACCCGGTTGCTACATAATATCTGGCAAAGATCCAGATGCCCATTGCCAGGGAGGTTTCAACTATTATAACGCATCAACCGACATACTACGGAGTACTTGCCGAGGATTAATTGCCCAGTTGGATGTAATAATCCCTCCACAGCAATGAGATTGAGTTTCATATGCTGCGGGCGGATATCCCACCAGCCAAAGATCAAGGAATTAAGCAACGAAATCGGGCCACCAGAAGCCAAGAGTCCGTGATTGTCTATCAGTTGCATGAATGGCCAAAATAGAAAGGACCAGTCATTCTGATACAACGCTAATAGTTTAAGGAAATGAGACATTCGGCCCATGGACACTGATGAGTAAAATGGATGAGATCGAGAATTGCAGAATCTTGTTCCAACATATATAATAATTCATTATCAGGCGGCAGTTGCATGGCCGGTTTGAATCCAGACACTAATATCAGCCATGGATGGGACAGCATCCGGGGTTTCATTCATGCAGCCGGCATGCCTTGTTGGCTGTCCCTTGGAAGGGAAATAGGAGAATAGGAGAGCACCTTTCTGGCAAATTTGTGCGATCCATCTGTATCCGAGTAAGTTTGATATCGCAGATCTTGAAGGGAACATCGGGGAAAAATCCAAGGTTGAGATATAGAAATCATGTGGCGTGGCGCCTTACCTCATTAGGGACTAGCGCCACCCACTAGTCCCAATACGGCCAAGCGGCGATGTGGGACCGCTTCGTCCTGCTATCAGATCCTGCAATGCTTGCTGCCACAGGGTTGCCCAACCTCCGCCTGCACCATCGTTGGTAGAAGAAGACCAGCTCGGCCTCAGTAGTAGAACACCTCCCCCCCCCCTCCCCCCAAAGACCTCCTCTTCTCTTCTATTCTATCCTTTCTTAGTTATTCTTCTTTTTCTTTATCCGCAGCTTCTCCGCTTATTAACGTCTTTCTCTTCCCTTGCCTCTCCCTCCCTCTTTTTACTCTTGGGCTCGCTAACGCTATACCCGCTACCACCCTCCATTTTTACGACTGGAACGCCATAACGAATCTGATGATTTTTCTTTCCCCCGGTTTATCATTAAAGGAAATCTCGGGGCTATAGTTTTTCATCTGTCGCAAGACGTCTCTCCATCTTTGGTCTTTCTCGAAAGATCTCATCCTAGTCTTTTTGAGGTTTTGCAAGCGGAGCAGCTTCCAACTCCTCACTGCGGAATTCTAGTCCGATCCTTTTATTGTATCTACTTTTTCCTCTTTCACCATCATTTTCTTTATCTATCTCTTTCTTCTTTTACAGCTCTAAATGGCTTCTGGTAAGCATCCTTCTCACTTTGGGTGACTTCCCCGGTTGCAATTTCATGTCAACAGTCCACTGTCTTGTTGCCCATTGCTGGGCACAAGACGACCTCCCAGCCACCAATACCAGGATCTAATGGCGAAAATGACGTATAGAATCTTCCAAGGTTGTCCCTCTGACTTGCCATGGACATTCTCGGCCTGTTACCCACCTAAGCTTTTCTTCCCTGGTGGAGGACGATCAATACTACCTGATTTCAGCATGTAAAGGTATTTTCCCGTGCGGCTCGGGGGGATTATAGATCTAGTTAAACTGAGCGCTCTTTCTAGATAACAATCCGATGCTCAGGGATGGAGTAACTGGGGACTGGTCAGTTTGATTTCGGTGCGCTAGTGAGGTTGTGCGATTGCTAATGGTGGAATAGGATTGGTACATTCATGGGCCACAAAGGCGCAGTATGGCAGGCTCGCCTTTCGTCAGACGCCACAATAGCAGCAACTGCTGCTGCGGATTTCTCTGCGTTCGTTTACCTACTCTCGCAAAATTTCCGCATTTTGAACTGGGGGCTTACTTGAATCTTTACTCATAGAAAGGTTTGGGATACGCATACGGGAGAATGCTTGCACACACTTCAGCACGCACATATCGTCCGTGCCGTCGCGTTCCCGATGCAAGCTAATCCTCAAATTCTGGCAACTGGTGGAATGGAGAAGAAACTCCGCATTTTCGATCTTTCGCAAAGCGGAAAGAGCAGTACTTCGTCTCCAACGTCTCCGTATGGATCAACTGGAGTTAATGGAGTCAGTGGTGGGTCAACGTCAACGCCAATGACAAGTTTTGAAATTGGCCCAGGGGTTCATGGTGGCACCATCAAGTCAATCATCTGGAACCAGGATTACAATATCATCACCACGGCCTGTGAAGATCGAAAAATAAGATGGTGGGATCTCCGCTCGCGTCTTCCCTTCGTAGAGCATACCGTCGATGGCACGATTGGGAGCTGCGAGTTGAACGCGCTCTCCACCACGCCTAACGACCCAGGAATCTTGAGCGTCGCTGCTGGGAAGTCAGCCTATTTCTTCGACGGAACCAGTCCTGGCCGCTTGTTTAGAAAAGTGGACTTCAAGTACGAAGTTGCAAGCGTCGCTGTGAATAAACAGACTGGAAGGTATGTGACGGGATCTGTGGGAGACACCTGGGCGCGGGTATACGACTTGGAAACTAACGAGGAGCTTGGTATGTCTTTCCTTTCTGCCTATACTAGTCCACACTACCCTAAAACTATCCACTTCCAAACCAGAAGAACTGGCCCACTGACATTCATCATTTACAGAAGTTCAGAAGGGTCATCATGGACCGATATGGTCCGTCAGTTACTCTCCAGATGGAAAGTTGTATGGAACCGGCAGCGAGGACGGGACTATCAAGTTATGGAAAGCTTGCAGGGAGCCGTATGGACTGTGGAGATAGACAAGCCCTCACAGAATATGAAAAGTCGGCGCATGCGAAGCAAAAGTATGAGAGACAGATGTCGAGCTGGCCGTCTTCCCATCCCATCCCTTTGCCAATGACACAACACAGAAGAAAAGAAAAGCAATATATTTTATGTGGCTAGATATAGTTTTGCTATGAAAAGACAGAATCGATGCCAAATAATAATCACCTTGTGGACTCATCTACACACTCTGGTATGTGTATGCTTATGGGTATGTAATGATAACTCTATTCATTTTCTTTTCATTGTAGACTGGTATATCAGTGTACCATTTCTCCATTCATTCATTTGTCCTATCTATTTCTATGCATGTCCGTTCATTACTTGCCATCTGTAGTGGTACCCCGTTTCCTCACCCCCTTTTGTTCAACTTTCCTTGTACCTTGCATCCCAACGGGAGAATGACCAACATAAACAGCTAGCTACCTGGGTTGTTGAAAGCGTCCTTCAGTAGAAAAAATATATATTACAAAACTTCTACAATTCACTCAGTCTCTCAAAATTTTCATATTCCCGGGAGGGCAGCCCGTAGAGGGCTCACTCACCTCACTCTACAGTGGATATTCTTCCCGTGGCCCCCTTAATCTTCAGGGTGAGGACTAACTACTACAACGGGTGAATTTGGGCTTAGGGGTGATTTCTGCCCCTTGGAGTGCGGGAGAAAATATATTCTCTTTCCCCTGACACACAAAGTCGAGTATCAGGTCATGTCAGCGGGTGTTTACTGGCAGGAGGTGCCAGATGTGTGATTGGTTCAGGTCGGATGAGTGCTGGTCACTCTAATTCATTCCCCTTCAAAATATGCGCCGCATTTGTCGACCTCAACCCACCCGATATTGGTGTTGTTTCATTAAGTGAAAGAAAGTGAAACTGAGTCAACTCGGTTCATAACGAATGACATGGTTTCGCTGTCGTTTTGGCTGCTGCCCTACTAGACAGCTGCCATGCATGTCTCAAAATGCTCTTCTGGTAGTGTCCAAGGTTCGAAGAGGTTTTTGAAAGTCAAACACGTTGAAAAATAATAATATAATATGTTTTGAAGGAAAGAAAATTATTAGACCGCAACACCTGAAGGTTTCCTCTATAAACGCGTTTACGCGGGCGCTTATTGAAACGCCACAGTACTTTTGCCGCGGATGGCCGCCTTCCGTTTGCCCTGGCGGCAAAATGTCCAACATCACCCTGAGCTGTGTACACTTTCTTCCAGCCTCCTTTCCCATTGATAGATACAGCCTCTTCGCCTCACAGCCATAAAAGATTACGCTGGAGCATCCTGTACAAACCAAACCGTTTAATCCCTGCTGTACTTTTACCTTAATTGCTACGACCTCTTCCCCTGTGCTATTGCCTCTGTTCTCTCACTTCCTCCAGTCATGGACCGAAGCTTGGATGAGATCATAGCGGAACGGCCCGTAAGTCTTTTTAACGAGCTCCTCCAAGCTGGTGTTACTTGGCCTGAAGAACCGCCGTTCCGTATAGCATGATTTGTGCAAACTCATAACTAACGTTTCTCTTCACAAAAGTCCTCAAACCGTGGGCAAGCTCGCAACCGTCCTCGACGGAGCAATGCGCCTCGAAACGGTGTCAAAAAGGTCTGTAGTTTGGTCGCTTCCAAGCCTATATAAAGGAACTGTGATTAACTGGGTTGGCTTTTAGGTCCTCCTCCTTTTCCTCTCGCACCCTAGCCGTATCGTGAAGGCAGACAAGCTCCCGGCTTGCTCATCCTCCTCCCAAGCCATCGGGTATTGGCAAACAACATCTAGATGACCTTCAGCTGACCTCCCCCCTTCTTATTGAGCAACAGCCCTTCAGAACAGAGCGCGCCAATTTAGATCTGTAGGACGCTATTTCGTGCTTTCCTCTCGTCTTGGTAGCCTATTTTTTCTAACATCGACAAAGCGATTGGGTTCATGATAAGTTCGAGGATGATAGAAACAGTGCGTTCATTCAATCATCCTATACATGGCCTTAATTCCTTAACACATCGTCTAGCTCCTTCCTACCGTGGTAGCCGAGCCCGTCGCCTCGACCGGTATTCTCCAGAACCGGAACAGTATGTTCTCCCCCACTCCCAGTGGATGAAGCCAAAATGGACAACGTTTGCTAAATCCACGCTGTAGACCCCAAACCGGTGCCAAACTCCGCGTCACCAATCTCCATTACGACTTAACAGAAGATGATCTCGAGGTAATTTAAGAAACACCCACTACAAATTGAATTCAAACCTTTGAACCAGTTCTGAATATGCGACAGGATCTTTTTACCCGCATCGGACCAATTAACGCGCTTTCTCTACGGTACGACCGAGCCGGACGTTCAGAAGGAGTTGCGTTTGTGACGTATAAGCGTTTAGTGGATGCCCAAACTGCCATCCGAGAGTTTGATGGCGCGAACGCGAAAGGGCAACCAATCACTCTCACGATGATGTCTTCCACCTCGGGGAGACCCGCTGGGCGTAATCCGTTCGACTTTGCTGAAAAGCCAAAAGGTAGCCTATTTGACCGAACTGAAAAGCCCCACACTCGAGACAGTCGCAGTCTCAGCCCAGAAGCGAGCGAAAACGTCGATGACACTTCGGGTCGTGTTGGCGGAAGGGGCCGTAGAAGCGATGTCTCAAAGCCTGCGCCGGAACACATCGATCGCTACGTCCCAGGCCAGCGATCGCCACGGCGACGTGGTGATGGTGGAAGAGGTAGAGGACGGCGGCCTGGGGAGGTGAAAGACCGTCAAGAGCGAAATGGCAGTGCGGCAGGATCTGGGCGGCGAGCAGGGAATAGGAGGGCAAAAAAGACGCAGGAAGAACTAGATCAGGAGATGGAGGATTACTGGGGTAACACTACGGCGGCCAATGGGAATGGTAACGGTGCCGCTGCTCCTGCTGCCACATCCTTTTCTGCAGCCCCTGCGTCCACCGCTCTGCATGATGATATTGACATGATTGAGTAAGCTAGCTTGCTTTCATGTGGGGGGCATTGAGGACGATCAAAAGTTGTCCAAATTGAAAAGAGTTTCGGCCAAAGAAGGTACATCGTTTCTAGGAAGGGTGGTTCATGCAAACTGCTTTTTGTCAGGCGCATTCTTGTGGAGACCTTATTATTTATTGTGTTCATTCCTTTACAAGAAAAAACATTAACTTTTCGTTTATTTTTCGGTTATGGTCATCGCCGCTCTGCTTTTCCAGACGTGGGTTATTTATTTAGGTGCTTTATTTGTATGTACAGCTGCAGAGCATAGAAATGGTTGAATATCTTGTTTGATTGGTTTCAAATGCACTCGTTCTAAAGTTACCGCGATTTTGGCTCTATGCGCCACTTGGGATGAAACAAATAGGGGGTGAAATGCACATGGCAACCCGTTTTTAAAATTCTAAGTCGCGGAACACCTAAAGGAACGAACCTTAACACAGGCTGGATGTTTCTGAGTCTTTAACTTACAGATACAACCGCAGTGAAGCTTTGAAGTGACTGGCTCATCGTGGCAGCTGTTGTGACGTGTCTTCAGTAGGGCCCCGCGTCCAATTGTAACGGGTGTATATCAGTGGGGCAGAGAGTAAAAAATAGTAGAAGAACCCTTCCATTGCCTTGTCAGATAGACGGGACTTTTTCTTTCATTCAAACTCTAACAAGAAATGACTTCTGTTGCTGCTGCTGTTGCTGTTGCTGTTGATGTTGCTGCTGCTTATTGCTCCATAACTCTTCCTCTCTTCCTATAGCACCGCCAGCGTCAAGGATAAACCACCATCCCCCTCCCCGGTCGTGACGAACTGTTGTTGTTGTTGAAACAAGGTTGCCGACTTGGCTGGGAGACTGCCCCGGGAAAGAGGGCTCGGCGCTGGGACCTTTAACTACCTGGTTGCGGCGTAACCACGCGCTGGCACAGTCTGGCGCAGTCTGGCTCGCAGCCAAGGAACGCTTTGTTTACTTCGGCAGCAGCACTAAATAGTAGATACATACATTAACGTTACCACCACCGCTTATCTATCGCCCATATGCCGCTTCCACCACCACCACAGCTTATCCACCACCACCACCACAACTCCTCCCACAGTCACCATCATTACAACCACTACGCCCTTTTCCCGAACAAACCACCAAGTCCTTACCACTGCTTTGATTCTAATTTGGCCTCTTATCGCCGTCGCGCTGGAACTGGATTTGGCTTTGCAAACCCCAACCGAGTGATGTTGTTGATGGAAGAGAAGCAATGGATTACGGTCCAACAGAAAACGTTCACAAAATGGTTGGTGCGGGCTCTGCTGCTTTAATTGCTGTTGTTCTTAACACCTTTTCCTTTTTTTTTCAGATTGGATGGGCTGGCTAACCATTTGCTTACTGTTCTTTTTCCTTTTTCCACTTGGTGCTACAGGCTTAACAACAAGTTAAAAGTTCGGAACTTAGCCATTGATGATTTAGTCAAGGACCTCTCTGATGGGGTACGTTGTTTTCTTTATCCCTTTATAATGCTCTCAAAATACATTTCTTTGTTTTTTTCTTGTTTCCCCTTGTTTTCATATCCTTTTTCATCTGTTTGTCCTTTCCCTCTTGTTCTTTTTCTGGCCGTGCGCATTGGAATAATCTTATAACTGGTTTGTCTCGTTGGATATAGGTCATCCTCATTCACATACTTGAGATTCTGGGAAATGAATCTCTCGGTCGATATGCCTCCAAACCCAAACTGCGGGTCCAGAAATTCGAGAATGCAAACAAGAGTCTCGACTACGTCAAGGGGCGGGGTATACAGATGACAAACATTGGCGCTGAGGATATAGTAGACGGAAATAGAAAGATTATTCTCGGACTGATATGGACCCTTATTCTACGATTCACGATCAGCGATATTAGCGAGGAGGGAATGACGGCGAAAGAAGGATTGTTATTGTGGTGCCAAAGAAAAACAGCCTGTTATCCGGGAGTGGAAGTGAGAGATTTTTCGGCGAGTTGGAACGATGGACTAGCCTTTTGTGCCTTGCTTGATATCCACAGGCCCGATCTTATCGATTTCGATTCTCTGGACAAGAGCGACCATAAGGGCAATATGCAGCTGGCTTTTGATATTGCGTCGAGCGATATTGGTATACCTGATTTGCTTGATGTGGAAGACGTATGCGACGTCGCGAAACCTGACGAACGATCGCTCATGACATATATCGCATATTGGTTCCATGCGTTTTCCCAGCTTGAAAGAGTAGAAAATGCAGGCCGACGAGTGGAGAAATTTGTTATGAATATGCAAGGAGCATGGGAGATGCAGAACTCATTCGAACGCAGAATGAAAGAGCTTCTCCAGGCTATTAGAGCGCAGCGAGCCGAATGGCGTGAGTCGTCGTTCGAGGGAACTTATGCAGATGCCAAGGAGCAGGCGAGTAAGTTTGGGGCATATAAGAGAAACCAGAAGAGGAAGTGGGTTGCAGAGAAATCTGATCTTGCGGCTCTACTGGGGAACATCAAAACGAAGCTTAGCACATACCGTCTGCGAGCCTATGAACCGCCTCCGGAGTTGAGGCTTGAAGTCTTGGACCAGGAATGGAGTGCCCTAACCCAAAATGAACGTGAGCGCAGCCAGCTAATAAATGAGACCATCCGTGATATTAAGAATGCCCTGCGGCGTTCGTTCGCTGACAAGGCGAACGACTTTGCATTGACCCTCAATACACTATCGCTTGCTATTTCTGGCCTCGAGGGGGATGTCGAGGACCAGCTATCGCATGTGCAACGCCTCAACGATAACCTCCCGCCTCTAGATGCCTTCCTGGAAACAATAGCTGAATTGGAAGAGCGGTGTATAGAGGCCAATATTGAGGAAAATGATTTCACCACATATACGTATGACGAACTCGCATACGAACTCGGATTGGTTAAATCGAGTGTCAGCAAAAAGCTAGCCTTCTTGGAAAATCAGACGGTAGCAAGAAACATGACCAATCTCACTCCGATCCAGCTTGAAGAATTCGAGTCTGTCTTTAGACATTTTGACCGAGACTCTTCCAATACCCTGCATGAGATCGAGTTTTCAGCTGCATTGGCAAGTTTGGGTTTAGTTTACGACGAGGAGGAGATGCACGAGGTTTTTCTGGAAACCTGTGGCCCAGCAAGAGTTGAGCGGAACGCTGGCGTCAGCTTCGAGCAGTTCATTCGATTCATGGTCAGTGTTACGGAGGACCAGAACACGGCAGAGCAGGTCTTTCAAAGTTTCAAAGAGGTGGCTGATGGGAAGGTATGTATCTTCTATTGGCCATAGTCATGTTCGGCGTCCGTGCCAAGTGTTGTACCAGAAGAAAATTTCTTCCTGTTGTGTGATTGCTAACTGGCGTATCAATTTTCAGCCGTATGTCACCGAACTGGATCTTCGGCATTCCCTCATCCCTGAGGAGCTTATCGATAACCTTCTGGAAACCATGCCCCGACATGATGGCCCGGATCTCTTGGAGGATCGCAACATACCGAAGTATGATTATATTACGTTTATGGAGAAAATGATGAATAACGGCGATGGTGACGACGAAAGTGAACTGGGTGACACTGGGAATAGTCACCTAGTGAATGGTATCTGAAAAAAGTCCGTACCTTTTCGTTTCTTTATACCTAGCTAGATACCAGAAAGGAGCCGTCGTGTTATGATTCATTGGGGCGTTTGGTTAGTTATCGGTTTGTTTTAGGAGGTATATACCTTTTTTTTTTCCCCTTCTCCTGTTCATGAAGTTATATACATACCTATACACTTTCCTCCTCTTCTGTTTTATCACCACTTTTTATCCTCAGACATTCTTTTTGGTTCTTTACTACTCCTCAGCCCTGCTTTCACAACCCCAGCTGCTGTTTCTCTTAGAATAGTACATTCATTTCGCTGTGCATGCTTTGTTACTTTATGTTTTACTGCTGCTCTACCTCGGTAGCCTAGAGAGGGGGATTACATGGGGGTTGGCATAGTGGATATATCCATACACATACATATAATACCAGGAGTTTGTTGATTGAAAATATTTTTATTTCATGTTTCTGATTCGATTTGCCTCCCTCCCGTTTCTTTTCTTTGTTTATTTTCGTTAAAAGGAGGGGAATGTTCCGGCCGGCGAAGCGCCTGCATGGGGAAAGAGAATTCACAACGGTATAGTGCGATCTGTTGCCAGCGAGGTTTCTTCCACTTACCCGACCCGACCTCTTTTTTCAGTATTCTTTTTTGGAGATCCAATCGCCCTGAACTTCGTATTTCAAATATCTGAGGGGCAGCTATACACAGTATACGCAGTACACCCAGCCATTTTAAGTCTACCATGGGTGGGTGAGAGCTCACAAGTTGGTTTTGAAGAGGGATTTCTGTGGGGAGGAGTCAAAGCTGCTTTTTACGTTTCCTCCCACCCATACATGTATAAAACTCATCGCAGGTAACTCTTTATCCCCTTCGTCGAAGTAATCCGATGAGGCAATATAGCTAGCTACTTTCCCGTTTCTTTCTCCTCTCTTTCTCTGATTCTGATTCTTTTTTTTTAATATTTTGTATTTTCTCTGTAACTACGGAGTACTTAACTGTACATATCAACAGCCGAACAGCAGTCACATTTGCCCGCAGGCCAGGCGGGGGCCAACTGAAACGAACTCCCTTTTTGCCATTTGGGGCGCTGAGGTTGCTGAAACAGGATAGTTAAATAATAAAAGAACTACAAGGCGGGGGAAAAGATATTATTGAGGAACTGGCAAACGTCTTTTTTTTTTTTTTTCACTACCGCCGCGCTGGAGAAGTTGGGACCACCAGCCAGTTCTAAGTTCTAAGGGAGGGTTCTTTTCTTTCTGGTTTTGTTTTGTTTTTCGTTTTTCGTCTCTAGCTCTAGTTAGACTCTGCTGTACGTACTTGATATCAAGATGAAGTTTTTTTTTTTTTTTTTTTTTTTTTTTTTTTTTTTTCTGATTTGTTGTTGCTCCGTTCCGTTTCCATGGGACTGGACAGGGGTCAACCGCGAAACGTTAAACCCAATCTCGCTCTTTGTCTGGAGTCAAGATAACCTCTTTTGATGGAATGAAGGGGGGGAAATTGGTGAAGTTAGTTTTTGGTTTATGTTTATGGAGTATGTTGTATGTTTATTTTATATTTTCTTCAACGTCGTCTAGAGTGAACCAGTTTGTTGGAGGGAGGTTTTGAGGAAGTCATTCTATCGGGGAAAATACGACTTATAGTGTAGAGCTCACTTGTTGGGATAATAAGAATGCAGTTCTACAGGCGCTACGTAGGTGTTTATGAAATCCAGATTTTTTATTTTTTTATTTTTTTTATTTTTTGATTATGCTGAGGAGTATTGATTCTTCGACTTTGAGAGGGTGATCCTGGCAGCGGAATGAATTATTTTATTCGACTCTCACCGGAATTTGCCGTAACTAAGGTGTTGTTATTACATATGATATATTTCTTCCTGGCTATGTGGGCTTGAACTCCAAAAAGGGGAGCCAATTGAAAAAAGGGAACCCATGTACGGAGTAGAATGCTAGGCGCGACGGTTGGACTGACTGCATAACAGCGTAGATCCTTCTGGCATGCTTCTGGAAGGGCTGTGGAAGGAAAAAGGACAATAATAATAATAATAATGCCTCCCCTGTAAGCTGTAACAGCTCAGAAGCTCTTTGTCTCTTGACGGACCGAATTTGGAGCCCCGTTGAACTGCCAAACGGCGCCTGTGTACTCCGTGTGATATGCACATTCCAAAGGATTCGTATATGTGTTTTTTCCCAGGCCATTCCCGAGAATTGTTGTGTAGCCAGACATTGCTCATACTCATACTATGCTCATGCGAGAGCGCTCTGTCCCCAAGGAGCAGAAGGAAATTAAAACTTTGAGACAAGGTTAGCATTCTTAGCAGTAAACTAGGGCGGCTCGTGGAAACTCTGGGCTGCGAGCGGTGCCAAAAGAATATTATTCGCTAAACAAGAATCAAATCAACGCCGGCTCTAGCCCTGGAGCAGGGGAGGTTAGCGCCAAACACTCTCAAAGCGAACAAGCGACATCACGTCAAAGGATGGATCAACTTGGCTGAATAATTATTTGCATGTTGTATTTTCTTTTTCTTGATTCTTCGGAACCGAGAATGGGTCTGATAGGGATTCCAGTGGCGACATATGTAATGTACAATACTTTCCCAGTTGCAGTCTGCCAATAATAAATGAACTGTATTTTTATATTTTCCCTCGGCTGCTCGGAGTGGCGGTTTATGTATGGTCCACTATCAGAACAATCTGCCGATTCTTCAGCAGAATTTGAATGGGGACGATACTTCGTTTTTGCTATCATTTCCAGGCCCTCTTGTCTCTTTGGGAGACACTTTGTGAGAGGTATTCATGGCTGGACGAGGGGACCGGCGGGAAGCTGCGTACTCTACTGATTGGCCCTGGAAAAGGGGGGATGCGCGTTTGTCAGTATGGGTGTATTAAGAATATCCACTTGTAGAAGATTCTTCCCTTTATATTAAGAGCGAAAATCCTCACCGCCGCCTGCAGTCCAAGCAGACCTCATTATTATTATGGATTTCACATCGTTGAGATGAAACTTACCCCCTATTCTTGCTGGGGGTAAGAATACCCGGATCGCGGTGGTGGTGGTGGTGCCGGGAAGAACTCTTTCTCCGGCCGGCCTGTGCCAGCCGTACAAGCGTATTTCACGTACCCACCGCTGGCTTGGCGCCTAGCAGCGCAGCGAGCTTGTGCCAGAGAGTGTGTCTCCAGTGTGTCTCCAGTGTGTCCCCAGTGGACGTTTGGGCGGCTTGGGGGCCAGTTGGGGGAGGGGCTGCGGGCGGTGTTTGGGCGTGTGTTGCAAGCGCTGGGAACAGGTGGGCGTATTATATGCGGGCTGTGACCATACCATACGACCACTGCCAACCAATCTCCCTCCTCCCCCCTTCCCTTCCCGGCTTCTTCCCCGTCCGTCTCCTTCAATCTCCTCTCCTCTTTCTCCTCCATTGTTCGTCCAGCTTCAACTTCAATCCACCTCCATCACCGCCATCACCGCCATCACCGCCATCACTATCACCCTTCCACCTCTATCCATCGCCTCTCTCCCCCTCGCCCCCCTTACATCTCCATCTCCGTTATCTTGGATTGGAGTTGTGACTTGGCTATCCTCAGCTTGAAAGCAGGCCGGCCTTTTTGGTGAAAATAAAACGCTCGTTCACTGTACTGTTCGCGATTGAGATTGGTCGCCCAAGCTACTTCACCCGACCACATATTTTCTTCGTCGATCAACCTGTTTTACCCTGGCATAAAAAAAGGCTGGAGGCATTTTTGAAGACGGTTCTGGATTAACTTAACTTGTCTTTGGTTCAATTCGTGGATAGGTGGATAGTCAGACTACCGTGAGTAACAGGCTATCGTTTTATTTCTAAAAGCAAGCAAACCAGGTGTCGCCCGCTGTTTCGGGACGGTGGCATTCGCACCAATCAACCCCTTCACTATTCTCCTCCCTGCCCCCCCCCCCAAAAAAAAAAAAAAAAGAAAGAAAGAAAAACCCCAATCGCCGCGAACGCATCAAGTATGCACATTTAAGATTAACTGAACTCCCTAAACATACTGATCGACCAACCTGTGTTGTGTGTAGATTCCCATTTCGCCCAAACCCGTTTGGAGTGATCTATCGCTCTTTCTACCTCGCGAAAACTCGTCCGCAGTTACTTAGATATCACATTTGAACCGCCAAGATGGGGTGCGGAATGAGCACTGAGGATAAGGAGGGGAAGGCCAGAAACGAGGAGATTGAGAACCAGCTCAAACGAGATAAGCTGCTGCAGAAGAATGAGATCAAGATGCTTCTACTTGGTAAGCAGTCGACTCCTTTCTACGATTACTAGACCAATGCATGCAAGCTTTTGGCTTACTCCATTTTAATACATCCAGGCGCTGGCGAGTCCGGTAAATCTACCATTCTGAAGCAAATGAAACTCATCCACGAGGGTTCCTATTCGCGGGATGAGAGGGAGTCTTTCAAGGAAATCATTTTCAGCAACACCGTGCAGTCAATGCGTGTAATTCTTGAAGCTATGGAAGGTCTTGATATTCCCTTGGACGACCAGCGTGCAGAATACCATGTTCAGACCATCTTCATTCAACCAGCTCAGATTGAAGGCGACAGCTTACCTGCTGATGTTGGCAACGCCATTGACGCTTTATGGAACGATGCTGGTGTGCAAGAATGTTTCCGACGATCTCGCGAGTATCAGCTGAACGACTCAGCACGATAGTAAGTTTACCTCCATTTTTTTAATTATTTTTTTTTTATTTCTATTTTTATTATTTTTAGATAAAGTTCGGCTTCTTACCAAGATTTGTAGCTACTTCGACTCCATCAAACGTATTGCTGGATCCGATTATTTGCCCAGCGATCAGGACGTCCTCCGCTCCCGTGTCAAGACTACTGGTATCACCGAGACAACGTTCATTATTGGCGACCTCACTTACCGTATGTTCGACGTTGGCGGGCAACGCTCTGAACGTAAGAAGTGGATCCACTGCTTCGAAAACGTCACCACCATTCTTTTCCTTGTAGCAATCTCAGAGTACGACCAGCTTTTGTTCGAGGACGAAACCGTGAACCGTATGCAGGAGGCTCTCACACTTTTCGATTCTATTTGCAACTCGAGATGGTTTACCAAGACCTCGATCATCCTCTTCCTGAACAAGATTGATCGGTTCAAGGAGAAGTTGCCTGTCAGCCCGATGAAGAACTACTTCCCTGACTACGAAGGTTTGCTTACCCCGTGTTGTGGAGATGGACAATTGGATGTTAACACTTTCTACTAGGTGGTCCCGAGTACACTGCCGCGTGCGACTACATTCTCAATCGCTTCGTATCGCTTAACCAGGCCGAAACGAAACAAATCTATACCCATTTCACTTGCGCTACTGACACATCGCAAATCCGGTTCGTTATGATGGCAGTTAACGGTATGTGACTCCCAATTGAAATACCTGCATATATCTAGATTCGAAACTTTGCTGACCCTCCGAGTCCAGATATAATCATCCAAGACAACCTTCGCCTCTGTGGATTGATATAACGAAATCCTTTTGGATAGGTCTTTTGGCTCCCACTAATTTAGATTATTTCTGTTCGTTTCATCTGTATTTGATATCACCCTCGATTTTCCCCCTTTTTTTCAGAATAATTTGCCCCACGCCCAACCACCGCCACCAAACAGAGCCGTCCAAGTTTTCCTTTACATCTATCCCTCTCCTACTTTGCCTATTACCGGGCTCACAATGGCGTTGAGACCTTTTCCTTACTCTAAAACAAAATACGGCGTATTGGACCTCTCGTCAGTACCGCAACTACGGGACATACGATCTTCCCTTTTCTTTTTTGATTACAACCCCTCGCTCCCCACCTCTTGGTCTGAGGAGATAAAATGATACGGTGCCACTCCGATCGTTGCCTCTTGCCGCCCTGGTTTCTGATGGCGCAATCTTAACAAACCCCCCGGTGCTGCAGGGCTGTCAACTGTCCACCTTCCTTTTGTTTTTTTTCCTACTGCATGATTTCCTACTCGGCTTGCTCTTTTCTTTTCTTTTCTTTTCTTTTTTTCTTTCGATATCTTATTTCCTTATTTCCCTTTCTAATTCCCTTGTTATATCCCTTGATATGTACCTGTGTGTGCGTGTGTTCTTGTTTTTTCTCCTACTTTTTTTCTTGGGGCTTTTCCCCTTAACTTTCTGTATTTCTTGTGACTTTATATGGGTTTCCCTCTTATCGAATTTCCATTTCCATTTTCTTTTATTTCTTCAAATACCATGGGGTTTCTCTCATTCTCTTTTTTTTTTTTACTTGAGTATGTTTTATTTGTTTCGCTATTTGCCTTGTTTTCGAACCTTAGCTCTGCCTGTATCAGCGGGCGGATTTCTACACATTAGCTTTTTGGTTTTTTATCTGACCGGGCTATTTGTCTACCAATTCCCTCTGCTTTTTTTTTTTTTTTTTTATGTCTGCTACTTGTCCTCCTTTTTTCCCTACTTTTTGAAACAATTCGCAAATCAGATTTTAGGCAGGAAATGAAATGCAATACCCACTTATCGCCGTTTTTTACCTTTGGAGGTCAATCTGATATGTGTATAGGTGGGCTGGGTGTGCTAATATGGTTTCCATACACACCGCTGAACTTCTTGTACTAGTCTATGCTCCGGGAGTAAATTTTGACTGGCTGGGGGCCTAGTGTTGATGGGTTATTACCCGACATGTTTTATGAAAGGAAAGGGATTGTGCGGTAGCAAAAGACAAATGGATGAATGAGATGGTATGGGGACGGCGAAGGATGTTGAAATCCGATAAGAATGATAATATTGCATGGAAAAGAACTGTGTGGTGGTAATAGCTGGGTTGTTGGCGTGGTGGTGGGTAATTGGGCCTGAAGGGAGGATGTTGTTTGTTGGGGTGGGGGGGGGGTAATGGGTGAGTTGGGGTACTTTATGGATCACGGGCCACGGGCCACACCAACGAACGAATAAAGTCTTTTTGCGCTGGCATGCTGCATACATGTGGTATGTATGTGGTAGTTATATAAGACGATATCTCCAGGGCTGTCTAGACGAGTAGTAGTCGTAACGAAACAAAACTAATAAAGAATAATTGTTCATAGGGCTTCCATAGGAGATAGAGTAAAGTCCCATCCATCCCATACCCCCCCCCCCCGCATGAAGTAATCTACACCAGTGCACCACCCACTTCCATAAACCAACTCCCATAAACCAACCAACCCGGCCCCTCGTTCTTCAAAACCTCAACTTCGGCCCTACAAACACAATCAACACCGCCACAACCCACAGCCCAAATATCCACACATACATCAACGCACGCCCCCACCACCCCCTGCCCTCCGCCATGCGCCTCAGCGCCCCTAACCGCTTCCCCGCCGCCTCCATCCCCGTCGTGCTCTGGTCCAAACCCTCCGCCGCCCGCTCGATGATTGACTTTTCGGACTCGAGGCTCGTGTGTAGGTTCTGCGTGGAGGTTTTTAGTTGGGTGGCTAGCGCGAGGAGGGAGGTGGTTAGGGTGTCTTGTTCGGCTTCGTTTTGGGAGAGGGCGGTTTGTGCGGAGGGGGTGGATGAGGTGGTGGGGGTTGGGCGGTTGGGGAATAGGGGTCTAATAGTGGTGGTGGTGGCGGTGGGGAGGGATGTGCCTGTTGTTGTGGCCGTTGGGGTGGTGGCTGATGATGATGATGGATAACGGTGGTGATGGGGGTGTCTGCCGCGGAAGGTGTTTGATGGTGATGGCTCTCGTGGTTGTGTTGGAGATGGTGATGGCGGTTTATCTACAACTTGTTCATCGTTTCTTCGTTCTTGGGTGGTCTCCTCTGCTTCGCTTTCTTCTCCTTTTCTCTCATCTTCTACTTCTTCATGTCTTGTTGATGCTTGGTCTGCTCCTCTGGTTGGCGGTGGGGATGTTGTATCTGGGGTACTGTCATTTGGTGTTGGTAGCAAATCATCCTCGTTGTCCGACGAGAAGGTCTGGGTATCTGGATCCGTTTCGGCTGCGGCGGCTGCAATTTCGTCTAGATGGGTTTTAAGAGTCTTGATTTGCTGCCGCTTCTGGGCAAGATCAGTCTGGAGAGCATGTTTGCGCGATTGGATTTTGATGTTCGGGAGGGTGAGTTCGAGTTTCAGGATTAGGGTTCGCGCATATTCGATGTTCTTTCAGAAGCTGTCAGCGGATAGCCATGTTCATATAGGTAGGATTTGCTTTGTATGCTCACAGCTCCAACTCTAGCTCGGTGATAGGGAGATCGACGTAGCAGTTTGAGATCTGCGGAAGGAGATAGCAGGTTGTTCTCGAGGCGGGCAAGGAGATGGGTGAGGTTGATGGATGTAACGTCGGAGGAAGAATAGGAGTCAGACAACTTCCGCACCATTGTTGAAACAGCGACAAATCGAAGACGGTGTCGAGAGTTGTAGTTAGTTGCCAGACTTCAATATATTCATATACATACCCATCAAAATAGCGACGTCAGAGCCTGGGTTTGAACGGTTAGTCAGCGCTTAGATAAGCCGAGCCGCGAGGGTGACTGAAATTGCTTGAAACGTCGTGGGCGAACAGGCAAAGCGACGGCAACACTGCTCAGAAAGCGAATATCTCACACGATGGTTGCCAGCGTGAATGAATATCTTTGTATACAACGATTGTTGACCTTGCTTACCCATGCGCCTCGACGTCCGCCGTAAGAAGTGTATCCCACACGCTTCCCAGCATGAGGAGACAATTCTTTTAGCATGCTAGGCTTTACCCCTGCATGTTATATTCTGCTCGCTATTTCTATTTGTCTTTCTTCCTCCTTCTATATGGGTTGGACAGAATGAAATTATAACTCCTGCATGCTCTTCTTTCTCATACTTACTTTATTGACAATCGTTCAGAGTATCGCAACCTTTTATCCCCTGCTTCAAAAATTCTGTTCAGTTTCCTTTTGCCGTCATTTGATATCCACGCCTTTTTATCTCCTGATTGCAACACCATTCGTTTCTTGCGGAGGGTGGCTCGTTTACTCCTCCAATTCATTTTACTTGTTGACATAAGTGGAATGGTTCGGACCCTTCACGACCAGTAAAAGCCTGGTGGTGATCGAGCTCTTTTGCCCCAGTGTCCTACATTACTCTAATTCAACCCCACCATGCCCTTGCTCAGGCAGTAGGTCGTTGGGTCGCGGAAATGGTTCAAGAATTTCTCCTCCAAGCTATCCTATATCGTCAGATGCTATCGGGATGTCACGGCTATGTCGAATGGCTAACCAGCCGCACGCAAGTTCTTGTGGTGATTCATACAAAAAGTGGTGCTCACACCTACATACCCAGACTGCTTCAACTCAGCTAATATACGGAATGTGCTGCTCCTATTTCCTATGAGGCCTTGCCCTGTTCCTGACGATGCGGACCCTGGAGATCAGAACCGGAGTTTCTGCATGCCCTAGCACTGCAGGAATAGAGATGGTGACAGAAGGTGAAGATAAATTGTTCATTTTTTTAAGAGATTTTCAAGAGATTTTAACAATCATTGTTTTTAATTTCAAGTTCGCCATCTCAGTTTTGGAGGCGCCGTGAAAGACATTATTTGTTTCCGTCGACTATGGTCACGGTAAGGAACGTCATTAAAAAGCAAGAACATCTCGTAAGGAAAATATCTAGAAAATGGCCCGCGGCAAAATCCCTCCCAATGGATATCAAGAAAAATAAGAGATGATGGAAATTATACAACTTGGGTGAACTTCTCCTATTCTTAATTACACTCGAGGATTCTCCGTCTCCAGGCCTGACGCTTATCAGGTCCCGCCCTGGGGTAAAACTGAACCGCCTCACTTTGAACCTGTGGGAAATCGACAGGCTGTTTATGCATCACCGGAGAACCCAAGGGATGCGGATGCGGATGTGGATGTGGATGTGGATGTGCTTTGCTCATATTGTCAGCGAGACAAGCGGTTTCCTCAGGTTGCCAGTGAGGTGTCGGTGGTAGCATCTGAAGAGGGCCTGGCGAATCCCCAGAGTTTCGCCTTGGTAGCTCGGGTGGAATTGGGGATTGTTGAGCTAGAAGCATCGGCTGATGATTGGGAAGTTGATGCCAGTGCTGGGCTTGTGCGTCAAGAAGTGTTGCTGATCGGGTTGCGTTTTCTTCAGGAGACTTCATTTTAGATGGATCACCTGAAATACATACGTTGGACTCAGGTTGTTGAGCTTGACGCCCAGGTAACGTCTTTCTGGTGGCACATTGTGCGATGGAGTTTGCATTCTCCTCGTCGGTGGTGATGGGCTTCTCGGAAATTTTTGGCGCAAAAACTTTATGTTTTGTGTTACCGGAGGGAGGAAATCGTGATTTCTTACGGCGTTTAATAAACGCGATGGATATTAGGACGAAAACTGGTATAAGGATGTATAAATATGATGGGAGGGTAGGAAGCGCTTGGGGGCGCTGCGTTTCATTTGTCGGGGCCATGGATATTGGCAGATTTTAAAACAAAATTAAAAGACGACTAAAAGAAAAGAAAATAAATTGATTCCTTTCAATTGAGATACAATGGTTCGATTTTAATTGCGAATGATGATTATTTCATCCTGTCCCTGCCATGGACCTGACCGATGATGCGTTATGGAAAAAGGGGCGGAGCCTGCGCAGGGTGACGAACGTTCCAAACACAACAACACCTGCGAAGCTGACCCGAAACAACGAAAGACAAACGGCGATGAATGGCAAGGGGTGAGGGTGTCAGGGGTTCTTATTATACCTACATTTCAATGAAACTGAATAAAACTTATCCAATCCTCCGTAAGCGGTAGAAGTTCGCCGCCGCCGTCTGCAATCCCACATCCACTTCAGCCAACCAACACAGCGCCGACCAGCGTCTGGCTTTCATGGCAAGCTGCTGTTTGCCCCAGGTATATGCTAAAAGCAGAAAAAGAACAGCTATCTAGCTAATCTCAAAAAGCTGCACCGTCTTATCCCCCAATTTCCCAAACTGGCGGGTTGACGTACTTGGCGGAGGGGTAACTAACTGCAACGTGGAGCTGATTCCCACCCACCTGCATCGCCGAAGGTGGATGCTAGAACAACTTCGAGGAAAGCTTCATGCTGGAGATGGGCTATCTTGGGTTAAGCTTTGATCTAACTGCTCCGATCTGCTCTACGCAGTACGTATTGGAGGGTCAGCTCAGTCCAACCAACGCCATCAGCTCCTCGTCTACAAGAAACTGGCAATTGCTTCATCCTGCCAATAATGGATGGCTCATCAGACAATCTACCAACATAGCTGTTTCCACATCATTATTAGGCCAGGGCGGGCTAAAGCACGTTCATGAGCTCGTAATCACCAGCAGTGCGGGAGGAGCAGGATGACCAACGTCTACAGAAGAAATGGCCATCAATGCACTTTTGTCAGAGGCGAATACAAAGCAGGATTTTCTCCCGTGCCCTTTTTCGAAGCCGCCAAATCTTACTGACGCAAGGGAAGCAAGCAAAAACTTTTAATTCCCACTGTGGCAATGTAAGAACAAACACGTCAAGAGACGAGAATTTTGCTAACAAGCCTGCAAGCAGTTATCGAAAATCCAGGAAATCCCAAAATCTGTTAGTGACAGGATGGCCATGCGGCCCATTCCATAGCTTAAAATAACACTAGCGGCCAAGTCGCAGGTAGTTTTTCAGCTCAGCCATGATTCCTCCGGGTGATCCCAAAGGCTGAGACTGGAAGGTTGTCTTCGCGCTAGGCCAAATAGCCTACCCTAGCCCTCGCATCCCTGGTCTGGATCAGACTGGATGTTCTGCTGTCGGTTGATGGCCCAGGATGCGCGAACTCCACATCAAGAGTTCATGCCCCCCGCCTCAAAATCACTCGTTGGATCGATCGACCAATCTCCATGGATGGAGTTTTATATTTACCACGTTTGCTGCCTGCAAGTTGAGTCTCTAGCCACAACCATATGTGAGAACGCGTGATTGGGAAGGACTAGCAGGATTTTCGCCCACAAGAGCCGCAAAAGTGCGCACAGTTTCAGCTGAGTGCCTGCTCATGACTGGCATAAGCAGATACCCTTTGCAGCCTGTGACCAGTCAAAGGGGTTTCTTGAAAAAAGTACCAGACCAGAAAGCAAAGATGTGGAAGTCGTTCGTTCCATCCGCAGCTAGTTTCGGCTCTGCTCATTATTCTTATTACCGAACCCAACATCGCCGTTCTCTGACACGATGAACCCGAGAATGTGAAATTGCTTCGCTGGTCGCCGTTGTTGCCTTCGCCAATTTGACAAATTGAGAGCAACTGCTTTTTACAACTCACAGAATTCTTTATTTTGAACCAATGTACGGAGTACGGAGTACACCTACCGATAAACTTTTCCGAATGGTCGATCTTAGAGACGCGTGAAAACCCTAACCATCGCCATCACAGCCATCGACCGAGTTTTCGGGGTCGAACCTGGTAATCCAGCCCTCTGTTGGCACAATTAGGCGTTCGGAGTTGTCGTTCCATTCCCATATCAAAAATTTCGTCCTTTGTTTACATCTCTATATTTAGCGCATACTCCGTACTCCGGCACAATCTGTAAGAGATATTCGGTGAGCCTACGAACGGTCACATAACCCAAATTAAATGACTTCACTAAGGTACGATGGAAGCTGACCGGCTTGCGCATTTTTCACATGAGGAGCACAGCTTCGCCGTCAGCTGTAGTTCCGGTCAAATTTCACGTCTCAAACCGGTTGACTTGCGTCTTAAGATGAAGATCGAAATATACTTCCAAACATATTCTAATAGAAGTGCGAGCCTTCGTTGAACTTGAGCTTGATTATTATTGTCAATAACACAGCAACAGCAACCATGACTTCATATATGGCTGTATATATTCGTTAGTTATTGTACTATTGCTGTCTTTATATTGTGGTGGAATTCAGCAGCTTAGAAGTGGAGAAAAATGCCGGCTTTTTCTTTGCTATGCGATCTTCAAGGCAGACGCTACTAGCACGCAGCCCCAGCGCAGGTGACGATGCCTCTGCCCTCAGTTATCTCCGTGAATATGAAGATGATGGCGCATAAACCTTTCGCCTATGACTAATGTTAGGACATATTTGGGAGCCAAGTAATCATTGCATTGCCATCCAATGAGCTTTTGAAAGAGGATCAAAGTGACGTTTGCAGGTCCTCCTACCAGGTCGATAGTTTCCAGATCCCAAATCAGACTGTAGGGGATTGGAAATAGCAGAGAATTCGCCCTCCTTCAACTGCCCTTACATTCCAGGAGTGTACAAGTGACACACCCAGATGCCACGGAAGACGAAACCATGGCGAACAATACAATAAATCGATTGTCTTCCAGCGCCTGACTGAGACCTCAATCCGTTCGCTACCTTAGATGTAAAAGTGTCGCGTCACTTTGCCACGCCCCCGAATCGCTCCCTGTTGATTTGGCCACGTTTATTTTGACGGACTGTAGCTACATGTTTGCCATGCAATATCTAAAGTCTTTCACACACACTAGCCTGGCCATTTTGGGAGAGGTGCGCCATCCGGACGGACATATCTACAGATAGCCTCGATTCGTCCGATACCTGTAGGAACAAAGTTAGAGACAATTATACCGCAAATAGCAGGAGAATATCAATGTTAATCACCCACTTGTGCTCTCCTTGAGTAAACTCTCCATCTCACTCCTGGCTGAAGTTAGCAGAACTGGCAAATTTGTGGGAGAGAGGGTACAAACAAAGATGGCATGCATCCTAGACTAGCACACCCAGTTTGCCGTTTCTTTTTTGCGATCCGGTATAGACGATTTAGTATTTCGATGTTGTGTGAGCATGCTTATTCCGTTGCTGATGCAATGCTTCTCAATTCCCATTCTTTGCCTTCACCTGGCGATGGCGAGCGCTGATGCTAGAACCCCTGCTCATGTCAACCGCCACGCTTTTACACATTACTTGCACTTAAGGCGACGGAGCGGCGATTATTTAAAAATATGATGGAGAGGTTTTTCATCGCGAGTTGGGGGCCGCGTGAGTGGAGACTAAGGTGGGAGTTTTTAAAAACTTATTGGGCGTAGGAAGCATGCAACTCGGGTTTCTTCAAGAACGAGAATTTATTTTCACTGGCTGTCAGCCCAACCTCGCCGATGCAAGGAACGAATGAGCAAAAAGGGCTTGACGTCAACGACGCCACAGCCATCATGGCAGGCAACATGTTTTCCTTATGTCCCACGAAAGATGGAATTTTTAGTGAATTGGTAGATTAGATAGGCTGGTCAGTGATATTCGGGATTTGTGTCTATGATAAATGACACGAACTGTCCAGAATTCTATCCAAATGGTTGAAGTTTCTCTGTCTCTGGTGCTTTGCATACTTACTTTACCTAGCTCAACGAACTCACACCTGCCCCCCCCAACCAAAAATCCGAGATATCCAACTGGATATTTTCCCCTTTCCCCCTTTATGGATCACCATATTACTGGACTTTCGCGCAATCGAATGTTTAACACAGAAATGAATGATGTCGGCAGGAGGCGATATACGGATTTGACACATCACCACACTGACCCCTAGAACGACGTAATTACTCTTCTAAATGGATAGTTGTGTAAAAGGAGAGGAACGAATAAAACGTGGAGGAAACAGAAGGCCCAAAATTGAGTAGATTCTTTTCGCCTATTTTCAGTCAATCAGCTCTTTAGGGTCTTGTGATGATACGAACACGCAGAAGAAACATCATGCACGTTCTACTCTCCGGAGGTATCGCCATCATTTGTAGTTCCCATTTTGCTGTTCACCTCCATGAACTGATGGCCTTTTCCAGAGCTTGGAAATCACTGGGTAACGGTTCATTTAATCGATTGGATGTGGATGCTGGGCCGTCGAGAGAGTGGGTTTTTTGAGAGAGTGATAGAGTTTGGTAGTGGGATCATTCAATCCACCCCGTCGACCTATCTGTACAGACTATCCAAATCAATAAAAATAGAAGACCGAAGGTCCTCGATATGTGGCGACAGGGGCGGCCGGGCCGATAGGGACGATGGGGGATGGAGAAAAAGCAAAAATAAAATAAAATAAATAAAGCAATGGAGAACTAAAGAATAGAAAGGGGCAAACCACAAATAGGCGATGGATACGCGAGTGGCACTTCAAACAAGAACAGAGACACCTGCTCCGTATTCTTCATGAGAACGAGCCATCCCTCCAATCAGCCTCGATCATAAAAGAAACTGCATCACTGCGCAGGGCGATGCCCAAGATTTAACCAAAATGACAAGAATGATAGGACTTGTGGGAACTAAGGCAACTAGAGCTCAGCTCTAACATCCACAATCTTTGCCCTCACCAAGTTGAAATTCCACTATCCTAGTCAGGAAATATCACTCAATCCTCTCAAATGGCAGCTCATTCGATGTCTCAAGATGCGGAACACATATATCCTATGAACATCGACAAAGCCGTTCATCTCGTTTTCGACGACCTGGCTCAAAGGATCTAGAATCCAGGGTCGCCACAATAGTTTGCGCCGCTAACACAATAACCGTGAAGAAGACGGATGCAGCGTACGCTTGAAATAGCAGCTACATGATCGCCGCCGGAAACTTCGGACTGCAATGAGCGCCGCTGGGGAAATTTTGCTGGCAACAGAGAGGAGATTCTGTATTCCTCGAGTGGTATGCGTGTTGCTCGTTCCAACGGAAATAAATATTCAGATCCCACACGCGGGCGCGGAAGCACGCTCTGCTGATGACATTGCAAATGCCCGCCGGGGCTTCAACAGACCTAGCCCCCCCTCGAATGAGATACCGTATACTGTAGTCCTTCCTGCTCATCGAAAATGCCAGGTCATTCAAAAAATTTATCGATGGTCATAAAGGCTGTAGCTGGATGTACCAAAAGAGCGAGATTCAAGTGTATGCGTTGCAGACAGTGGTATCTTGGTGCCTATCCCTCGAATCCTCCCTGCCCGGGGGTCTGGTCGAATGTGAAGAAGGTTTACTCGACCGCAAAGTCACAACATTTGGGTCCGTCGGGCTAACCATTGAGTTAACCAGTTCAGGAACATGCTTTTCGTTGCGGTCCGTGGTACGGAGTACATCCTACCAAGGTTAGATCAGAGAAGACAAACACCAGGCCACAGTATTTGCGTTGGAAGAAAGGGTTTATTTGACGCTGTTGCACTGGCGGAGGAAGCAAGAATATAGGCGTTGTATATGATATTGCGATGATTGGATGCCAGCTTGTTTCTTCTTCTTCAGTGTTCGATGAATACTCAAGTCCTTCGATTAGTGATTCTCTCGATCTTGCACCCCAGATATCCTGTTGAACCTGACTTCAACCTTCGGTTGCCAGGGTGGAGAACGATTATCCTAGGCCTTTGGAGGCTCAGGGTAGGAAGTCTGGGGGACGGCACTGGATAACAAAATGCCATCTAATATTCCATCGTGCAACGGAATGGGGCAATGTTCCGCTGCGAGAATCAAGAGGTAGATTTGGAGCAATTCTTGCCAGGTTGTTTCATAACACTCCAGCCAGCCTCTTTTTATATCACATGATATCCCTTTGAATGGATGGATATCAACGAACGGCAAGGCCTGCTTGGCTGTTCACGATATGAGCCTGACTCTGTAGTTTATTTGTTTTTCAAGCTAATTTTGCTGATATTCAGCGGTCATGTTTGAGCTATATCCAGCTACCATAGCGTTTTCATATATTTGCGTTTCGCCAACTTCATATACATTATGGCACTCTAGACATATTAAATTACTTCACTTTAACCAACAACCTATTATAGCCTTTAACGTTACCAATAGAATTGTTCAAACTAACAAAGACTCCACTGAAATGAACCTCGTAAGGTTTTCTAAGAACAATGACTATAACTTTGCGCTCTCTTGGCGGATTTCCTGTTGTGCTTGATCCCGAAGTACTCTTCTTAGGATCTTTCCGGACGGATTTTTCGGTATATGGTTGGTGAACACAACTCCTCCGGTGATCCTCTTTGTGGGCGACACTCTCTGTTTGACAAAGCCGGTGATATCCTCAGTAGTAGCGGTTTGCCCTGGTTTGAGGGTGACGTAGGCACGGGGGTACTCTTCGTTGTTTCTTTATCGAAGGATACTCATTAGCTGGTACTGTACATTCACGCATACTGAACCTGGAAGCTAAAAGAACCTACTTTGTTACTCCTATCACGGCGGCATCCGCGATCGCGGGATGTTCAAGAAGGAGCCCTTCTAGCTCTGCCGGCGCAACCTGGTTGCCTTTCACCTTGATAAGTTCCTAAGCATCATGTTAGAGCATGATTCCTGCGATAGACAATTTTGACAGCGGTTCACATACTTTCATTCGATCAACGATATAGAACTTTCCTGTGTCATCCACGTATCCGATGTCACCTGTTTTCAACCACCTGTCTTCTGTTAATGTCTCCTTGGTGGCCTCGGGTTTGTTCCAGTAGCCCTTCATTACATTAGGGCCTCTGACCCAGATTTCGCCTCGCTGGTTCCGCGCAAGCTCTGTCACTCCGTCGTCGGCCATAATCTTTGCTTCGCAATTCGCATTTAATTCACCAACAGATGCGCTAGTTCCCAGATCGTTGGGGTCCCATCCCAGCATTGACAACGTAGTCCTGTCGAAAAAAGGAAAAAGAAAAAGAAAAAGCACGGGCACATTAGCTAGGTTCCAAAAAAAATTAAAGAATAAGCGCGGACAGGGGCTAGCCATACTCCGTCATGCCCCATCCCTGTCTGACATACAGCTTCCCTGCTGGAAACAAAGCTTCGACTTCCTCTGAGATTTCTCTGGATAACGGGGCCGCTCCGCTTGAGACAGCCAAGACGCTGCTCAGGTCATATTTCTTGACCAGTGGATGCTTCGCAAGGGCGACAGCGATCGGCGGTACGACTGTCAGACTCGTAATCCGGAGCTTCTGTACCGCTTCCAACATCTGAACGAAGTCAAACCTCGCCATGATGTAAACGGGTATTCCTCGCGACAGTGACGATGCGATGAATATGTTTTGCGCCATGGCATGGTACATGGGAAGAAAACATAGCCAACGGGTAGATCTATCCCTCTCTTCCCAATCGCTCCGCAAGTACGCTGAATAGTCAAATTGGAGCAGATTTGCGACGTAATTCCTATGCGTTACCTGTACTCCCTTCGGGGCCCCAGAAGTCCCAGAGCTGTAATTGAGGGCAAGGGTTCGATCCACTTCTTCGGGTGTTAATAGCGTGTCCCAAGAGAAGCTGCTTCCCTCCGCCGGTGAGACGATGAGGTCTCCCCAATATCGACAGCCCTTGCGCCCTTCTCCCTTCCCATCAAACAACGCGCTATCGAACACGAATATCCTGTTTTTGCCCATGCCAATCAATTCGGCTGCAGCAATCCCCGTGTCTAAACTCCCATCTGCACATAGCATATATGTCGCCCCGGAATCCTTCAACTGATACGCCAATTCTCTGGGTGTATAAGTTGGGTTTGCTCCCGTGAAGATCCCACCTGCCATGACGATGCCCATGAAGGCCACCGGGTAAAATAAATCATTGCTGGAGAATAGGAGTACACGATCTCCTGTCTTCAGGCCCGCCTTTTGAAGCCCAGCAGCGAAGCGCTGGCACCACAGACGGTACTCATGGACGGTAAAAAAGTGAGTATCTGGCCGGGCAGCATCCGAAAAACACCTCTTCGTCTTGGATAGAGGATACGTGGGGGATTTGAATACCACCGTCAGCAACGATGTGTTTGGGATTTCAATGGACCAGCGGGACTTCATCACCATGATGCTGGATAAATAACAAAATTGAAGTTATAACTTGGTATAGGAAAAAGATTGCAATAGAGAGGATTGCTGCAGGAATCAGAAAGATCTAGTCATAGAAGACGTACTTTCTGGATTGGCTTTGAACGAGTTATGCTACTCTTATAAGCTGAGTAGACTCTGGATTCTTCGCAGCTGTCATCCGTACAATGGTCCTAAGCCTGCTTGCTTGGGAAATATTCAGCGGATCCATCGCAACCGGCTAACTACCGGATCAGGGTTGGACTGAGTATAGGGAGCTTTCAATGCCGAGGTCAATGATGAGATATATGGGAAATTTGCCTAGATACCCCCACTCCCGCTAAAAAATGTCGGAGGAGGTGGTTGGTTGTGTAATTATATCCATGGATCTTGTCGGCCGGATGCCCTATTAGGCCAATATACGGATGGATTAGGGCTTGTGTAGGACCTCCAACGCCCCCGTGCTATGTTATGTAAGTTACTGTACATAGCAACATCAGCACTAGTGAGCTGACCGAGGTCCTTACTTGGCACAAAATGGGTCAGTTGAATCTCCTCTACGGAGTATATACTCCGTAACATCTTATAATACACACTATAAAAATGATAAAATAAATATATATAGAAAGATATTTATATTATTTTTAATATATGATATGATATGGGCGACCGAGAAAACAAAGGATACGTTACGTAAGCTTCCAAGCTCTAGTTATAGGATTCAGTGTTAAAGCTAGTTGATTGCAAGGATTGCAAGACCGGGGCTGAAAAAATGCTATTCTTAAATTGCCAACATTTATACCTGGACGAGCAATTTGAAGTGCTTATACTGATGGAGTTATGTAGCGTCAAACTTGTCCCGCGGACGTACCAGGAAGACGAGTCTTACCGTTGCATTGGAGGTTCCCGGCCCTCTCGCTGAACGCCATTATTGTTCGTTTGGGCCACAACAAATGGCACGTCAAAGTATTCTCTAGATGGAAAGAAGAAAAAAAACCCCAGAGACGCCTAGAGTTTGAAGGTTTCTCTACAAAGAGATCGATAGGCCTTTCTACCCCATGGGATAGTGTGGTTCTTCAGCGAGAAGTACAGAATCTTAGGCTCTTTCGCGGTATACCAAGCATTGTGCAGCTAGTTGCCGTCGTTATCTCAAGTAATCCATATTCGACACATCCTGTTGGATTACCATTCGGGCGGGGCATTGGAGGGGATACTGAAGAAGACACATAGAAGCAATCACCCATGGCGGAGGTGGGCGCTACAGATTGCTGAAGCCCTCAACCAGATACATCTCAGCAATAATAATACGCACATGGATTTGAAAACATTCAACGTGGTGATCGATAGCGAGGGGAATGCCATTCTAATTGATATAAGTGGTCGCCCATGAATGGCTGGCGCCAGAAATACAAGATATGTCGGATCCTCCCACTTCGCCACTTGAAATGCGCCAGAGAAATGATATCTGGGCTTACGGTCAACTACTATCGGCAATGGTGGGGCTTAATAACCACTATCGAGAGAAGAAGTTGATGAAAAGTGTTGCAGCGGCTGCGACAACAAAAGATCCTGAATTGCGACCGGGTCTACCTTGCATCATTTCAAAACTCAACGTACTCAACGGAGGCTAATTTGACACCGGAAAACAGGTTTCCTCGACCGCCACGTTGGTTCGCACGAAACAGACCGGAAACAGTATATAATGTGAAGAGATCGCGACCGACAACCTTAGTTCGGATGAGCGTCAGGTTGACGATAAACTCGTTATCAGTCAATATTCGCTCCAGGCAACATCCGTCTCATCGAACCCGCCGTCGCTCCAGCCACCTAGCGGAAGTTTTAGCTAGGGGGAAGTGTCCCTAATTATTATTAGCCGAGATGGGCTACCACCGACCTGGTCCTTCGCGCATAGGAGGAGCCTTGCCATCAACATCCTTGAAGACCACAGCCAGCCGCGCCGGTGGTGACAGCGTGGGCTGAGTTTCCTACAGTGCACACCTCTTCCTTTGCCCTAGCTTCGCCGCAAGGATTGCTTAGGGACTTGTGGTAAGTGACCGCAACGGTGCACTCTTTCGAGGAATTGACACTTGATATCTATTAGGAAATATTCAGGAGAGTATGTGCATGAGCAGTTTTCCTATATATAAAAAAGGACTTAATAACAAAAGGTCATCAAAGGGCGGGGTATTTTGAGGGACATGTTCAGATTAAGAGAGTTTGGGGTATGATGAACCACGGCGCTTAAATGTCCTGTCTCCATTTTCTTTCTCTTCCATTTTTTTTTGAGTCACAGGGTCAGTTGGCAGAATTTCCGTTATCGACTTATATTTTCAGTAACATGCCGGCTGCGTGTGGACGGAGTTGCCTTGGCCCCAGGATTGTTTGATCGGAGCACGTTATGAAAAAAGATTTACCAAGGTTCGCACGCGCGTTGGATTCCTCTGGACCAATTAACGAACGGGATGGGCCGAAATGATCCTCGTTATAGCTGCGGAGACTGTTCCATCGCAGGACACCCTACACTCAGTTATCACCGTGACGAGGCTGGTGGTAGGGCGGTGCGAAGTATTTATGCGTAATACTCAAAGGGATAAAACAACTAGCTCCCAGCGAAGTTGCCCTTGTCTTGGCATTAACTACTGCCTCTTCCCCGCCCCATCCCGTTTGGACCAAACGTCTTTTGTGGAACCAACTTGTGGACATCAGTTCAATGCTACAGAGTCCCTGGGATCGAAGAATCAAGAAACCATTAATAATTTCAAACGGAAACTAGCTAAATGAATTGCACAAAAAGTGGGTATAATGATTCACAGCACGGTTAATAATTCACAGCACGATTTTTAGCATCGATGTAGAACCATATTCATGTGCACGTCTTCAGTTCGGAAGTGTGGAGGCCTTATCGGTTGCTTAGCTGGCCGCATGACCGGCCGTACCAAGGGACTCGCTGGCACGGATCTTCGGCGTTTTGGGATTTCCTCGAGGCACTTCTTCTTCTTCAACTGGAGCCGCAAAGGTCCATTGGGCATTTTGATATTCATCACGCTCAGTTGACCCATCAGAATCATCCAGGATGGGTGTTAAATCGGAAGTCGTCCGGTGTTGGAATATAGATGAATGCGGAGACCGAGCCTCGGAGAACCTTGTATTCACCACTCTAGTAAGTTCATCCCTTGTTTCTTTTGCCCAATCTCGGCCATTTCGGTACGCTGAAGCTCCTTGTTAAAAGGCCTCAGAAGTATGAGTGAGTGCAAATGATCGGAGCTGTGTCATAAAATATTCAGGATGACTATCTGGATTGTCTGACTTGCTAACATGAGTGGTGTATAGCTTTAGTTGACCGCCATGATAAGTCGACGTAAGAGTGTAAGCATTGTTATCATAGGTCGGTTCACCTTGCTGGTAGGATTGTAGAGCATGCATCCCGCGGGCACCCAGTGCGCCATCATAACATGCCTGCCGTGTGGCTACAGCAAGAGATCCATCAGGGCCTTTTGCCTCGAAAACGAAGTTTGGTGCCATTGGGAGATCATCCGGGACAATATGATGGCTAAGATCTACACGGATTTGATGGTTCAGCTGCTCAGGACATGCACCATAGAAGTGATCTGGTTTAGCAGCAGCCAGTGTTCCATCAGTTAAAGAAGTAAGATTTCTAAATGAGTAGTCCCCTCCAACACATTTCGGGTCACTGATATCACCATCAAGAATTGGAATCACTGAGGTTGTGATGGACTTCTCTTTAGATCATTAGATGCATGTGTATCTGCGAGGGCCAGGGTTCAGCTAATCGTTCAATTATCTCCTTCATATTTTTTGGTGTTGAAGGGATTTGGCCATCAGGATATCCATATCCGTCCGGATAAACACCGTGGTCGATTAGATTTTGCTGAAAATTCCGACTGTAGGCCGAGGTGCTTGAAGTTTTCGAGATTGTCTTCGTGTCCCTGGAAGTTGATGACGGAGGAGAACCCGCACGACGCTTTCTACTGTGGGAGCTAGATGTTCTTGGGCCCATCGGAATCGGATACTAGGCTCATATTGTGGCGGACGTATTGCTTGTGAAAACAGAATTTTCCCGGCACCCCCTGACCTGAACATTACGCAGGTATGCCCCGGTGTTTTCGTTAGTGCCGCCCTAATATTTTAGTGGCATTCTAACGTTCATTCTGGGGTGCCGCGTCTCTAAATATCCTCATATAATATAAGAAGCAAGCTTCTCATTCATTATTCTTATTCCATACGTACGCGATTCCTATACTCATTATTATCATTCTCTGATTCAATATGGACTTATTTGCTATTGCACCTTCACCATCAGAACCTCCTGAACCTCCTGCTACTCCTTCAAAATGATTGACCTGTGATCAATGTCGAGATATCCTTCTTCTTCGCAGACTGGATTGAATCTATCAAAAGATCTCTGATTAGACTGACCGTGTGACCGTGTCTGAGACCAGGACCAGAATATTTGATGGTCCCATTACCAATTTGATTGATCCCATTACACAGTTTTAAGATTAGATAGTAGTCTTATACTGTTTCAGTGAGACTTACTGTCTACTCTTGTCACATTTTTCAAATGAGACCATGATTTTCACTTCTCAATTTAAATTCTTTTTATTACTTTAAATGACTTTAAATCTCATTTGAGTATTATTAAAAAGTATTACTTTTTAAAAAATTAAAAATAATCTAAAAAAAACCTTAAAATGTCTAAAAATAGTGACTTTATATCAAGAATAAGATTAAATGAAATTAAATGAGATCACTTTCTTATTTTTTCCAAGTCATGATTTCATTCTGAGATCTGATGAATAGTTACTTTACATGTTTTTTTAATAATTAGTCTCAGCAGAATTCGTGCTAAGAAATGTATGAGATTATTATTATTATTATTATTATTATTATTCTTCAATTATAGATGTATACAGTCAGAGACTATGATATCTATCTGAGAACTTTTAGTTCTCAGAGTTTTTTCTATATCTATAAAGTCAACTATTATACATTTATCAATTTCAGATATGTAAAATTAAAAAATTCCAGTTCAGAATATAAAAACTGTTTACAAATTACAGTATTTTAACATCTTCTGATACTTTGAAATCATTTAATAATATCATGATAAAAGAAAAGAGAATATAGTCTTAAAGATAATGTAAGAAATTCCGCTTCTTACAGATTCTTTACCTCTATTTCTATCTCTTATGTAATTAATAGAGTTAGCAGCTCTTAATTACACATAACTATATAGACTGAAGTTCACAACTACTATTCATAACTCAGCTTAAATACTATTATATATTTAATCTCTATATTTTATCTTTCTATTATAAATACTTCTAGTAGTTAATAGTATATATTATATCAAGCTGTAAACATCTGAATAATTATCTGTAAGCACTTATTTTTATATTTCAAGCTCTATCAGTCAGTAACTACTTATTATAACTGAAAGAACTAGAAACTTATATACTTTAATCTCTATAAACTCTACTATAGACACTTAGAAGCAGTCACTCAAATTATGAATAATCTCTGTAAAAGAAGTCTCAGAGAATATATTAATTACTTATAGAATATTATTCTTTATATCTGTAATAGAGAAATTCTCTGAACTTATAAATAAATCAATCTTAATAAAGAATATTCTTAAGTATCTCTCACAGAATTAAGCTATTTTTCTATAAGAAATACTTACTATCTGTAAATATTCTTAAACTGAGTCTCTAAACATGATTTTCAGAGATAACTATGAATTGAAAAGAAACTTTCTTAAGCTATAATTACTTAAGATCTTCTACTGAATCACAATCTATAAAAGCTTTTATAAGTTTATATTTGAAATTGACTTACAAGCTCAGCTGTGTGATATAAAAGATGAAAAAGCTATTATTTATATAATAATAGATCTCTATTACACTGAAGTCAAGAACTGGCTGAATTATCTAGAGAATAATTATAAGAGATTCTACTGATCTGTTCTCAAGATCTATTTAGAGAATAAGTTGAGAGACTTTATAAGCTGAATAGAGAATATCTGAACTGTGATTATTAATATTAGAAAAAAAGATAAGAAATCTGATAAAAACTACTTACAGTGCTTTATAAAATTATGATATAAATTAAGATCTGTGAAAACAGAGCTCTGAAACAAGATCTGAATAATGATATTTATAAAGAGACTGAATAAAAATATATAGAATAAACTTATTAAGTAAGACTCTAAGTTCTTAACTCTGAAGAAACTGATAACTCTTATTTATTACTTACAGATTACTGTGAGAGTCATAGATCTGTAAAGAGTGAATTATTCACTAATTCTGTAAAAGTCAGAATAACAGAGAATAGATTTACTAAGAAAAGATAATAAGATATAGAGAGATTTATATCTAACTATTAAGTAAAGAGAGAGAGCTTCATAAGCTTCTATAAATAAAGTATATAATAGAGAGACTAAGAAAAAGAATCTTTACTTTATCTATTTTAAATCAGAATATCTTTATACAAACTATTCAGACAAATTAAAATAGAAATTTAAAAAGTCATAGACAGAGTTAGTAACAGTCTTCTTAAGAGTCTTAAAGCTGATATCTGAATCTGTTACTCTCTTAATAAAAATATATACTTATAGAAAGAGACTGCACTGTGATACTACTGTTCTACAAGTATGAAAAGTATTAATAGACTCAGAGTCTCAGATCACTGTAGTATTTCTAAAGCTTATAAAGTAAATAAGCTAAGTGATAAAAACTGAGAATCTGCTCTTATAATAAATAGAATATAAGAACTCAGATCTGAGAGTTAAGAGACTTATAAGAGTTATCTTTAAATTACAAGATCTCTCTGAAACTTGAAAAAGATTTATAAAAACTATAATTATCATAGATATTATAGATAATATATACTTAAGACTTATATAACTTTAAAGATATAATCTGCACATAGCTATCTATAAGTCAGGTTTATACTTTCAATCAGTATTAACAGACTTACTTACAGAGATAGAATCAGTTAATACTGTAGAGTTAATTAGAGAAGATAAGCTCATCTATATAATAAGTTTATAAATATCTGAGAACTTTGTAATTATGAAAACTGAGCTTCAGATATTAGAGAAATACTGAGATCTTATAGAGATATTCAGCTTAGTAAAGATAGCTGAGCTTTTATCTCACTATAAGAAGAATCTAATAATAGATTTAATAAAAGAGTAGAAACTCTTCTGAAGACTAATCTATAAGCTCTCTCATTATAAGATAGAGATCTTACAGATGTATGTGAAAAAGAATCTGAAGAATAACTTTATCTAATCTTTACAGATCTTTATAGAAACCTCTATATTATTTATAAAAAAGAAGAATAAAGATCTCAGATTATATGTAAACTACTGTAATCTAAACTTCAAGACTATAAAGAGTCACTACTCTCTGTCTTTGATTAAGAATGTGATTAACTGTCTTATAGAAGCTGTTATATTCATATAACTGAATATAATTAATATATATATATAACTGTGAATACAGTCTGAAAATGAATAAAAGACTATCTTTAGAACTGCACTGAGATTATTTAAATATCTAGTAATATCTTTTGATTTAATTAATATCTCTACAGTATTTCAGTCTTTTATTAATAAAATACTTCATGTATATCTGAATGTCTTTGTAACAATACATCTAAATGATGTGATAATATACTCTGTAAAGAAGAAAGAATACACTGAGTATATATAAACTATATTAAAGATCTTAGATAAGATAGAACTGTATATTAAGCTTATAAAGTATAACTTCAGTATCTGTCAGATTAATTTTCTAGAATATATAATCACTGCAGATAATATTTAAATAAAATCTTTACAGATTAAGACTATTCTATTATAGTCAGAGTTAACTAGTATTCATGAAATTCAGATCTTTCTGAGCTTTGTGAATTTCTATAGATAGTTTATCTTTACATTTATAAGAATCTTCTTAACTCTTATAGACATACTAAAGAATGAAAATAAGAAGAAGTTATTTCATAAATAAAGAATAAAAAGATTATTAAGAAGAGAGAACTGTAAGAACTTTCTTATCTCAGAAGCTTATAAGATCTTTATAAGATTAAAATAGATATTTATAGATACAGTGATACTGTTTTACTTTAATTTCTTACTCTTAATTAGATTGAAGACAGATATCTTTTTCTTTATAATTTCAGAAATAGTCTTATAACTACAGTTAAATAAGAACTAGGTTTCAGTGATCTTTTTTCTATAGAAAATATAATCTGCAGAGATTAACTATAATATTTAAAATCAGAAGTGTCTTATAATAGTGAAATTCTTTTATTACTAATATCACTACTTTAAGAGTCTTATAACAGTGATTACTATTAAAACTGATTATAATAGCTTATAATAGTTTACTTCAACTAAGAAACTCTCACAGTAGTAAGTTTACTGAGCTCAGAGACTGAGTAAGTTCTGATTTAAAATAGAATATATCAAGAGAACTAAGAACTCAGCAGATAGACTCTCTCACAAATCTGACTATATTAAGAAGACTAGAATAACAGATACAGAGAGACTAGAGAAGATAGAAAAGCTTCATAGAATACTCAGACTGAGTATTATAAAGAAGTTAACTGAAGAGTCTCTTAATTCTATATGAGAGAAGAGAGAGAAGAGAGAGAAGAAGTCTGTATAACTACTCTCTATAACACTGAGAGTCAATACTCTGAGAATCTTTATAAGAATTCTTGAAGACAGTACTTATAATCTAAAGAATTTACAGACTTTAAGAAACACTATAAAAGACCTGATATAAGAAAAAACAGAGTATAAGTATTTATAAGATCTTCTATTCAGATTATCTGAACTATAACTGAAGAATAAATATACTCAGTATATTTAAAAACTACTTACAGCAGAAATCAATTCTGCAGAAATAAAGAATTGAAGAGACTTAAATAATCTTTTATTAAGAGAGAACTAAATTTATATATCTATAAATAAGTTTCTATATATAG